ACAAAGCTCTCACACTTAGTAGTGATCAGAGATTGGGTCTGTCAGGAGATGCCGGTCATGGCGGGGGGGATGTTCACAGACAAAGTGCAGGTTGAGGGTGAACATCTGCAAATACAACTCAGGGTGAGTTGAGAAGGATTCCCAGCTTATACACATGCTCCCACTCACTGTTATGTCTGGACACCAGGTCCTGCCTCTTCTGTGGCTACCCAAAGTAACCCAACAGAGTCGAGCCAGAACCTTTGGGGGTGTCCAAATGCTGCATAAGCACCACTTCCTATGTTACAGGAGCCATCTTGCTATTGCAGCATTGGGTAGGGGCCCAACTAGGAATGAATCCCTGGGCACAGAGATGGTGCCTCCCAAGGCAACTCGCAGTCCTGGAGCCAGTGAGGGGTCCTGGGCTGCAGAGCTGCCAGAACAGCATAGAAGAGTGGAGAGTGGCCGGGAAGATCCCAGCCTAGGAGACCCAGTCTACTCACATCATCTGCTGGATGCTTTTTTTAAACCTGAGCCGGGCATGTGATTCTTCATTGAAAAGTTCCATGTGAACTTAGAATAAAATCCAAACTCCTCCTGTGACCCTCATGTCGTTCTCCTTTGGCCATTGCCTGTTCTCTCTCACATCCCCACCTGCCCTCTCTTCCTTTCACTAACATCCAGCCCTACTGCCTTCCTTTGTACTGCAGACATGCCCCACTGGTTCCTGCCCCAGAGTCTTTACACTTGCCCTTTTGCCCAAAACACCACTCCACAAGCAAAATCACATGATTGCCAATCCTTCTGTCTTTACAGAGATGTCATCTTCTCAATATGTCTTCCCCCACCCAAGTCAGCCACTCTATCCAATCTCTGTTTTATGATCTTCAATGAACCTCTCCCTATTTGAATGTTAATTTTTTTTTTTTGTAGTCTGTCTCCCCACTTAGTATGTAAGGTCCCAGAGGGCAGGATCTGTGTGTTTCATGCTCAATTCTACATTCCCTGACTCTAGAACAGTGTACAATAGAAATTCACTGAATGAATGAATGAAATGTGCAGCCCTCCTCCATACATACATTTGCTCTTTCTAATCTCACTATGGGCACCAGAAGTACTTTTTGTGAGCTATACAGGTCAGAGGCCTGAGGTATTCTAATCCACCTGCTTCATTTCTGCAGACAGACCTGTCAGGGGTTCCTGAAGGGGCCCCTGTCTTGTGTTTTCTTTCCCTCCCCATCCTTTGGCCCCGTCTTCTCAGGCTCAGCCCCCTAAAGGCATCAGAGGTCACTGATGTGATGCTACTCTGATAGTGATATGCACAAACAGGACGAAGGCTCAAGTCCAGGTCAGCTCCGGAGGAATGACACAGTGCCTACTGTGTGAGCTTTCACGACACTGGGATTTGCTTGGCTGGGCCCTGCCTGCAGCCTTTCCAGGGAGGAGCTGGTGGAGCAAGTGTGTACTGTTTGGGACCGCTGGCAAAGGTGCAGCCCCACAGCTGCTCTGTTCTCACCAACATCTACCCCTTCTATGGCCCAACTAACACAATTCCTGGAAGCTTATGAAACCAGATAGTTATGAAACCCAGAGAAGTATAAAAGCCTGCCAACCAGTCTCTGGGGCTCACCTTGACAAAGATGGAGGTCGTAAGAAGGCTTATCCTTTTGGTCCTGTTCATTGCCCACTGTTTGGCAGAGGTGATTCCCACTGAGGATGAAGGTAAGAAAACTGAATCTGATTTCTTAACTCAAACAGGGAAGACCTTTTGCCAGGGCTCTTCCAAGAATTTTCAAAGATTTCTATCTGCTATTGGCTCCAGAACAGACATTACCCCAATGTCATTGGTGGGATTTTGGTTTAGTACTAATGTTATCAAGCACATATGACAACATACATTGAAATATAAAAAAAACATGCAATTTTACTGGGCAATTTTTTATGAAGAGTTTTAGGAAGTAATCATAAAAGTGCACAAAGATATTTGTACAAATGTATGTATATAATTTAGAAGCAATTCACATCATTGATCTTGCCAGGGTACATCCATACAAAGGAACCCTCTTCAGCAAGTTTTTAAAAGTGTCCATTTTTAAAGAAAGGATTATTTATTAGAGAAGATCTACTTTAAGAAGAAAATTTCTTTAAATATTATGCTAATGTTTATATTTAAAATAAGTGTATTTGAGTATTGTTAAAATCTGGAAGTAGAAGAATGAGAAGAGGAAAAGAAAGAATCTGGAAGTATTCACAGCAGGGTTTTAATGATGTGTTCATTCTGGGTGGATGAGATTGTGGGATTCTACTTTTCTTCTTTAATTGTCAACAACCCTCAGCAGCAGAAGCAATCCAATTCCCATTCAGTATGTAAGTCCAGAGAAGTCACTTAATGGATACAAGGTTACAAAGTAATAAAAATGGGAGTGGAGTGGGATCCTAGCACCCTAGATCCAGAGCCCCCCACTCTTACCAACCTCCAGTGGTTCTCAAAGTGCAGTCATCACAAGCACTTGGGAAGCACAGGTACTGAGCCCTACCCCCACAGTCTCTACTACCTCATTAAGGTGGGGTGAATAGGGCTTAAGAAATTGCATAGGAAACAAATTCTCAAGTGACTGATGTTGCTGGTCAAAATGCTCACACAAGAATATACTTCTATTTTACAGAAGAGAAAACTGAGGTCAAGAAAAGTTAAACTGGAGTCTTTACTCCATTTCCTGCACGGGAAGCAGGAAATGTTTTCACTTTTACCCTGTTATAAGATTCCTTTCCTAATAAACTTCACTGTTACTTTTACTACCAAAAAAGTTTAAATTGCTTGCCAAAGTCACACAGTATCTAAAGTGCCTCAGATGAAAAGGGAACTTAGGTTACTCCACCCTCATAGCATTGGTGCTAAGCCATCTTAGATATATGTATTTTGTGGGCATTTGGGGAGACCTTGTCAGAATGGGAAGAAAACTAAAATCCTTACTTCCCTGTTCAACAGTGTGGGATTATTCTTCAGAATGAGGACATGGTGACGTAGGAAAGGAAGGGGCAGCTGGGAGATGTTACGGTTTGCTTTACCTTGAGAGAGTTGGCTGTGGAAGAAGAGTTGCTTCTTAACAGCCTTGGATATCAACAGTCAATGAAAACCAGTTTTAAATTACAAAGTTGTACACCAAACAGTCACATGGGCATGGGAAACAGGAGTGATCAAAGCAGAAGAAGCAACAGAATCCTGGCTTCCAGGCCCATATTTACCATTTACTTGATATAAGGTGTAGACAAATCAGCTCACCTCCCTGAGCCCATGAGGGTTGTTTTGATGCTGAAGATGGTGGGGATGGTGATAGGTCTTACAGGTTTAAAGGGAAGCATATGTCAGCCACTTTACACATGGTCAGCCAGTATGAGCAGAAGGGCTCTGCTCTTTGAAACCCACTTTGCCTAAGAAATTATTTTTATGGTGGAAAGAAAACAAAAAGAAATGAGCTATGGAACCATGCAAAGATACAAAGTATCCTTAACACATATTGCTAAGTGAAAGAGACCAATCTGAAAAAGCTACAGCTGCATGATTTGATTCTGGAAAAGGCAAAACTCTGGAGACAAAAAAAAAAAAAAAAAAACAAAAAAACCAAAACCAAACATGTCAGGGATTGCTAGGTGTCCAGGGCAGGAAGAATGAATGAGTGGAGCACAGAGGATTTTAGATCAGTAAAACTACTCTGGTAAGATATTGTGATGTGGGTATGTGTCTTTATGCATTTGTCTGAATCCACAAACTGTAATACCACCACGTGAACACAATGTGCACTTTGGATGTCAAGGTAGGCCGTTCAGTGGTACCAGTGTACCACAGTGAGGTATTATGTGAATCAATGGACAGAGCATGACTACCAGAAGCTACAAGACTAGGAACTCCCAGTTTCAGCCAAGTGAGACAGATTTCTCCTCCATGATAAGGAAATGCCTTTTTTTTTTTTAAAGTACTGGCATTTGAACTCAGGGCCTTGCACTTGCTAGACAGGTGCTCTACCACTTGAGCCACATCTCCAGGCAAGAAAATGACATATACAGCTATGTTATTACTGCCTCATAAATAATGACCCATAAAAAACTAGCAAAAGTTGTTGTGGTGTGTTTCATATTCTTCCATATACTACCTATACAGCATGATAAAATGAACAAGCAATATATAAATTGGCTATCATTTTAAAGAATAAATTTGCCAAAACAAAAATGCAGTATAAGATATCTCTTCTAAAAAATGAAACATTTTAAGTAAAGAGAAGTTGAAAGTAAGTGTTCCGTTTACTTGAGACAGATTCCAAAATGGATGCATTTTTTTTTAAGATCATCCTTCAACACATACACAATAATTCTTAGTTCTGAAAATTAAATCTACTAGAGACTTGCAATCTCCTTGATTTATACACATTAATCCTTCAATTCACATTCTCAGAATGCCACACACTAAACATAGCAGAAAAGGACTCTGAGGAGAAGAACCTGTATCTGATCAAGAAAGAAGAGACTTCCTCACATTGACTGGGGTTACTGAGATCAAAAAAGACAAATGCTTCCATTTTATGTAAAGCAACAAATCCAAAATAGTACTAAAAATGAGCAGACTGGTTCTGATTTCTACTTTCCTGTCTACAACTACACTGTAGTGAAACAAATAGTACTAATACCAGGTATAAACTAATCTTACACAAGTCAAACATTGCATTTTATTCATTAGCTCAGAAAAACAATACAAAATGTAAATTGGTGATCTGAATGAAGTATCAATTTTCCAACGACAATTAGAAAAGAAAAAGAAATCAAACATTTAAGCATCATTTTGCATACTCCTAAGACTGTTTCCATAAATAAAAAAATTCAGTTCAAATACATAGATAATATACAACACAAACTAATGAACTGCATTAGAAATCCTTAAACATTTTAAAACACTTAAACAACACAGTATACATAAATTTCTATAAGACTGAAAAATACTGCAAACAAAATAACTTATGACTGTATCATGTTAACTCATAGTGTACAGTACTGGATTCACAAAAACAAGGGCAGTAAAAATGAACACTGAGGTCACTTTATGTAAGACAATGATCCTTCAAAGGATATTAAATACTTTCTTTTCATAGACATTTTTGGGTTTTGGCTTTGTAATAAATATGTAATAAATATCTGCATTGCACTGTAAATGTTGAGAGCTTATCTTTCTCCATTGGAAAGTCTTTCTCCAGAGTCATAATGTCTTAGAGGCATCCCATTGGGTGAGGAGTTGGGATTTTGCAGCAAGTCCATTAACAAAGCAATCTTATCATCAATGTGCTCCTGGAGTTTATATATCCTCTGATCAATATAGTCCATAAGCTTCTTTTCCATGAGTTCCATATTTCTAGAAAGAATCTTTTCCAAGTAGGAACAAATAGGCTGTTCTTCCATTCTAAAAGTAAAAAAAATTAAAGGTATATCAATTTCTCTAACATTGTAACAACAAAAACAACCAAGCTATGCAACATACATGCAAGCAGTCAACATACACACTGAAATTTATCTCCACAACTGTCCTGTCTCCTGATGCTGCATTGCCAGGTTTGAAAATACACATATAGGAGGCGCCCACACTCCTGAATGCCCAATGCACTATTTTATTAATTCATTTTATTAAGATACAGGGAACATAAAAGACAAACCTTTCAAGCACAGAATTTAGAAAGAGCTTTTACTTTGAGCCCCAAATAATAACTCATCTTATCCTTTTTTAAAAGTCAACTTGTGTATTTTCTAAATACCCTATAAGCAACCCTACAATTTGAACAGTTTTTTTCTTCTTTTACACAAACAACCTTACTAAAATACTGGAGGGTTCTTTACTAATCTGACAGAAAAATGTTTAACAATTTAACTAGGACAGGCGAATAAAATTAAAAAGCACACCAGTTTCTAAAATTCACAATGAACACTAGAACAGTGAATGTCAGAGTGTGGTCTGCAGTACTTTTCCAGGGACTCAATAAGGTCGAAAGGACTTTAAACTAACAGTAAGACAGCATTTCACTGTCACACTGTCATGAATGTACAGAGGCTTCTTCCAGAAGTTACACAGCATATTATGTCATTGCTCTGATGACTGCTAGAATTTGTAGTGAATTCTCCTGTTTCTAAAATCTCCGAAGGCAGTAGTAGGTTAGTATATATTTTTTCAGAGATTGACTTAATTTGTTCTCAGTATTCTACTATGCTCTTACTAACTATATTTGATTGTACAAGCTACAATGTAATACATGAGGCTTGCCAAAAGTCAGCATAGACTTAATAAAACAGCATCATATTCACTAAACTCCAAATAACTTATTTTTCATACTTATTTATGTTAATATACAATGGTTTTATTGTTGTAATTTTACCTAACTGAAATACCAAACCCAGCAAGTTGATGTTAATACAATGTATGTGTAGTTCCATGCTATTTTATCACATTTACAAATATTTAACACAATCAAGAGGCAGAATTATTCCTTAACTACCAAGATCTCCTTCCTGCTACTTCTTGTCACATTTACTTCCCTAATCCCCAGCAATCACTAATGTGCTCTCCAACCCTGTAAGTTTGTTATTTTGAGAATGTTATATAAATGAGATCATACACAATGTGATCTCTTGGGGTTGTCTTTTGTCACTCATCATAATGCCTTGAGAGTAATTTAGGTTGTTGCTTTTAGAACTGTAAATTACTATGATACACTGTAAGAACTTTGGTAAATGCCACAATGTATCCCCTGTACAAGAATAATTTTAAAACCCTGTCAATTAGCATTTCATGGATGGATATATCAGTTTCTTCAATCTTTCAGCTATTGTAAGACATTTTAGTTTTTACCAGTTTGGGGCTGTTAAAAATAAAGCTTCTATGAACAATTGTATATAAGTTTTTATGTGGCCATAAAATTCCATTTCTCTGAAATAAATGTCCAGGAGATGACTGCTAGGATATGTGGTAAATGTGTTTACTTATTAAGAAACTGCTAAAATATTTTTGAGTAGCTTTAACTTGTTACATTCCCACCAGCAATGTATGAGAAATCCAGTTTCTCCCTATCCTTATCAGTATTTGGTACTGCTCTAAGATTTTATCTCAAATTTTAGTCATTCAGATAAGTGTGCAGTGGTATCTTATGGTTTTAACATACACTTCCCTAAAAGCAATGAAGTTCGTGCTAATCATCTTTTCATGTGCTTATTCTTTTGTGAAATAATTCTTTATGCCTTTTGTTCATGTTCTATTTCAACAGCATTCTTAACATTGAGTTTTGTGAATTCTTTATATGGTAGATAAAAGTCATTTATTGGACTTGTGACTACAGATATTTTCTCTTAACAGGGTATTTCACAGACAAAAGTCTTAAATTATAATGGGATCTATGTATCTGTTTTTCATTTCATTGATCATACTTTTGGTGTCATATCTAAGAACTCTTTTCCTAAGTCCATACAGAGTTTCTCTCATATATTTAGAAAGGTTTTACAGTTTTATATTTTACATTTTATTCTATGATCCATGTTGTGTTAATTTTCATGTAAGGTATGAAGTGTGAAATGGTTCATTTTTTGCCTATGGATATCAAATAGCTCCTTCCTCCACTGAATTACTTTCACAACGTTGTCAAAAACCAGTTGGTATAATTGTGTAAGGCTATCTCTCTGCTTTCTAGTCATCTATGTGTCTAGCCCTTTGCCACTCCAGTCTTGACTACTGTAGATATAATGTCTTAAAAATCTATTAGTGATTTGTCTCACTTTATTCTTTTTAAATTTTTTTCTAGTTCTATCTCCCCCTTTTTGAAATTCTCACTTCCAAATTTTAGAATCACCTCATCCATATTTACAAAAACTCTTGCTAAACTTTTGATAACAATTACACCACACGTTTCAATTAGGAAGAATCTACATTTTTACTATGTTGAGTCTTCAAATCTATGAACATGATATATTTCTCCATTATTTTATGTCTTCTTTGATTTCTTTCTTCAGTATTTTACAATTTCTAGTCCACAGATCCTCTATGTGTTTCATAACATTTATAATTCTCTAGACATCCATTTTGCATGTATCTACATGTATTTTTTGTACTTCAAGTTCTTTGGGGCAATCCAATTTGGGTATAAGGACAGTACTGGCTTCATAAAATTAGTTGGGAAGTTTTTCTTCTACTTTTTGGAAGTATGTAAAATCAGCGTACTTTAAATGGTTGGCATAATTCTCCGGTAGAACCATTTGGGCCAGAATATTTCTTTTTTGTGAGTTCTCTGTGTTAGCTTTTTGTTACTGTGCATACACCTGAGAAAATCAACTTCAGGAAGAAAAGATTTGTTTTGACTCAGTTTCAAAGACTGCAGTCCATGCTTGGCTTCCTCCATTGCTGTGGATCTAGGTGGAATAGAACATCTTGATGGCTAGAGTGGGTGGCAGAGCAAACCTGCTCATCTCAGGATGACCAGGAAGTAGAGAGAGAGACAGGAAGGGACCAAGAACAAGACACCTTTAAAGGTGCACTCCTTCTCTAATTAGGTCCCACCTCCCACCACCTCCAATAAGGGCACCAAATTATGACTTCACCAGTGGATTAATTCATTCATAAGGTCAGATCCGCCATGATCCAATCACCTTCCGATGATGAGATCCATCAGCTGGGGATCAGGCCTTCAACATGTTGACATAAGCCTTTTCAGAGGATACCTCATATCAAACCATAACACTCTTGAATTATAAATTCAGTACTTTTAGTGGTTGTAAGGTTACTCCATTATCTATTTCATGTGGTGAGTTTAGTAGTAGAGGTAATAGTTTGTAGTTTTTGAGGAATTAATCCATTCCTCTAGGTGATCAAATTTATGAGCATAAAATTGTTTATAATAGTCCCTTGTAATCTTTGTAAGAGTCTCAGGATCTGTGGTGATAGCCCAATTGCATTCCTCATATTGGTGATTTGCATCTTCTCATTTGCCTATCTTGCTAGAAGTTTTCAATTTTATTTTCAAAAAGCCAGCTTTTTACTTCATTGTTTATATTATTGTTTTCCTGTTTTCAATTAAATAGATTCCTGTTTTCATTTCCTTCTTTTTGCTTACCTTGGTTTTATTTTCTTGGCTTTCAAATTACAAACTCAACTTTTTGTTTTGTTGTTGCTTTGAGACAGGGTTTCACCATGTAGCCCAGGCTGGCTTTGAACTCACGATGTAGCCCTGCCTCAGCCCCCCAAGTGCTGGGATTACAGATATTCACCACCACACTGGCTTTAAATTCAATTTCTTTATAATAGCTGCAAGACTGTTTGGATTATCTATTTCATTTTTATTGAGTATTGTGGTTTTGTGCCATTGATTTGAGAACTCTCCTTGCCAATGTAAGCAGCTAGTGCTAGAAATATCCTTACCAACACTTCTTTAGCTGCATTAACAAATCTTGATCGGTTCTATTTTCATAAAACTTCTATTAAGAATTCTTAAATGATAGATTTCTAAGTGTGTTGTTTAATCTCCAAGTATTTGAGGAATTTCTTGTTGCTTTTATGTTATTGCTACATGATTTCTTGTCTTTATAGTCAGAAAAAATACATCGTAAGGTTTCAATCTTCTTCAATTTTGTTAGGTTGCTTATAACAAGATATTAGCTATCTCTGTGAATCTTCCACAGACACACACACACACACAAAAAAAAAAACGTGTATTCTGCTACTGTTGGTAGAATCTTCTATAAATGTCAATTCGATCCTATTGGTAGTTGGTAGTGTTTCATCCCAAGCTAATGCAGCTACCTCACTGTCAGATGAAAACTACAAACTAAGAGAGATTAAAAAGTATGGCAAAATAGATAAGCCAAAACTATGATCAGAGTCCTGATTTTCAGCTAGAACACTATTTTTACACACTTTTATCTGTCAAAAGGATTAGGAATACACTAAATATTTATCCACTTCTTAATCAAATATACACTGCAAAAATAAGGGATTAAGAGACCAGGGGATAAAACCTTATGTATTATAAACAATTACTATCCTACTGTAGTTTTCATTACTCCAAAAATAGCTAGATCAAACCTAATGTATAAAGAAAATCTGTTACAATGGCATGCCAAACATGGTCAGCCAGAAATTAGTACAAACATAAATAAAAAACAGCTCCTCCCCACTCATGCAAATATCTTTCTACAACAACCCTTAGCTGATGATTGTATCCCTTCTACAAAATGCCTGAGAAGTGTGCAACATCTCCTGTTAAAGCAGTCCATTCTACTCTGCAGAGGGATATTCCCTATAGGTATGTTAATGGTAAACTGTAAAGCTGCTAAAATTTTCTCTGGGAACAGATCTTCAGGCAGTGCTCATTAAGACAAATCTGTTTCCCTTCATCTGATTCACCCACCTACCAAATCTAAACTACATCTTGAAATAAAATACTTACGTGATACCAACAATGCCTTCACCAGACTTGGAGATGTTTTCTGGCCACTTGGTGCTATGTCCCATGCGGAGATGGTTAACTTGACTGCATAAATTCTGGAGAAAGGGCAGCAACTCAGAGTTGGGCATATTTGAGTTGTCACTTGCTTTCTTTGGTAAGAAAGAAGATACTGCATTTTTAAGATCATTTTCAAGAAGGGAATGGTTTTGTGGCATGATTTTACACTCATCATGGTTTATAGTATTTCCGTCACAAGGTGGCTGTGTGCTTTTATCAATGAAAGCCTTTAAGCTTTCTGTCATGTTTGCAGATGTCAATCCAGTTCTGAAAGGAAAAGGTGTGGAGGACGACTTGTCTAAGGCTCCCGCAGCAGACGATGACTGCAGTGCAATCATATGCCTGTATCCAGTAGTTCCCAAAACCGACTGAAGCTGCTCTCCAATAGGAATACAACTCTAAACAAGGTAAATAAGGAAGAGTTAAGAATGACAGTTCACTTCTGGAGTAATTACTAGGAGTCTGGCACTGTGCATTCTTTCATTTGATCCTCATAACATCTTCATGAAGTAGGCTATTATTAGTCAGTATTAAGTTCAGGAAACCAAGGTGAAAGATACCTAACCAACACAACCAGCTAGCAAGTGGCAGGATCAGGACATAAACCCAAACAACCTAAGTCCATGGTGAAGGCTTTTAGTCATTTCATTGTAGCTTTTCCTAAAGAAAATATTAAAATAAACACTAGCATGCATGGTAACAATGTATGGCATATTTTAATGTTTCCACCACAAAGGCCTCCTTAATTTATGGCAATAAAATGTAGTATTCTCAACTGAGTCACAGTCATTGATCATTTTCTTAGAACTCAGTATGTCATTCCCAACTTTCAATACATTAAAAGCTACTCATTTTTACCTGATCACATCTTTTGCAATGAGTTTTTTCACAGAAGCTACATGAGTAATTACACTATTTAAAGTTACATGTCTATGGGTACATTTAGGACATCCCCAATACTAATATGAGCTAGCATTTGGCTGTTTGCTTGAAGAATTTCTAGGAGAGTGAGCTATATTCTGGGGCAATGTTCTAAGAGAAGATTACATATCTTTCTATTAGGCTTTTCAATTTTTCTACTAAAGAAAAGTAAAATGACCTCCAGTCTAATGAACTGTTAACAGAATATGGCTCTATCTTAACTTCAAAATCTAGAAGCCTACCATATAGGTTTTTATCAGGGGATATCATTCCACACTTGTTGCTGTTCAACAGCTTCTGAGAGATAGACTGAAAAAGCAATAAACAAGATGAGCTGAAGAAACTCAGTTCATATATTCATCTATATATAAAAATCATCACTAGATCAAGCCATATCAACATTCACTTATTCAATAAACATCTACCATCTGTGCTAGGTTCCATTTCAGGCATAAGAAATATGGCAGTAAACAGATCAAACTAGAATTCCTAGTCTCATGAGGCCTAGGAATCATAGGGGAGCAGGGAGAAACTATGTGGGAAGAAAGAAGGGAGGGAGGGAAGAAGAAAACATATCATGGGATGGAGATGGTAATAATAAAACAGGAAAGGAGTAGAATGAAGACTAAGGAAGTGTGTATAGTGGCGGGGTGGGGGGGTAACCACCTATATTCTTTTGGCCAACTGCACTTGGGAAGAAAGGTTCTTTATAAAGAAATATTAACCCATTGTCAACTTATCTTGTTCTATCAAATTCAAGTTTTGAATAGACCTTAAAATGCTCCTGGAACAAGATGAATTATATGTAATTACTTTTACAAAACCTTAACATTAGACACCTTTCCTTTGCTTCAAAAGAGCTTTACACAATCGTAATGGAAAAACTCATTTAATTCTGATACCTCAAAAAACGTACATGCAAAACTGACAAATCTATACTAACATTTATACATTTAGTATAAATGTATTTATACTGAAGTCCATGTCAAAAGTATGGGTGACCATTGGCAGGACATTTTAACAGAAAAATTTAAACATAAAAGTATTTCTATGGAAATTTTTCTTTTCTGACATAATATTCTGATTATTTACAAGAAATTTGTTGGCTATACAAATTAATCAGAAGAAATACAAAATTCAAAAGTGGAAAACAATATAGAAATGCTTCAAAAATTAAAATACAACTCCATATGGCCCAATAATCTCAATTCTACCCTCCAGAACCTCTGGCTGCAGTATACATAGTAACACATGACAGCTGGCTGTGTAGAAGGACCTCAAACCTATTTTACACCCACAGAAAACTCTAGGAGGATACACAGTTAATGTGCTTACAACTGGAGATTAGAATACCAGTGGGGAACACATTATTTTTCACTAACACTTCTATTTGATTGAAACTGAGGAAAAGAAAACATTATCTATAGAATAAAGCCATAAAAATATAAAGACAGAGTCCAAATAAAAAACTCACCATCTAATTTCATTTTTTCCAAAGATAAGGTTTTAAAAGATAGAAATCCAAAAATGGAGAACAGGAGTTAAAACAGATTCTCTCTGGGAGTTTGGCACTAGTGGGAGGGGGGAGGATGCAAGAAAAGGGTGTAAGAGGATGAATATGGTGGAAACATTGTGTACTCATGTATGAAAATGGAAAAATGAGACCTGTCGAAACTATTTCAGGAATGGAGGTGGGTGGTGAATTCAACTACAATATACTGTACTAATTTTTATAAATATCACAACGTATCCCCAGTACAACAACAGTAATAAATTAATGACAGAAATCAGTGAACTAGTTATATTTAATTCATTAATCTCCTCTAATCATTTCCAAAATCCTTTCACAAAACTATTTTTCCTTTTTAAAATCTTCCACTAAAAGTATTACTCTCAAATTACAATATGCATGAGACTTACCCGGGTGTGACTTTTCATGCTGATGCCTAGACTGGTGCCACCCTACTGAACAGGTAACAGTAAGTAATCTGTAAGATTTGTAATCCAAATCTGCATTTGGATGACATTCCAAAGGGCTTTGTGTTTTATGGCCCATACTTGAAAAGCCACCCACCCTAAACTCTTTAAAAAGCTTAAATCTCACAAATTTGATAAATACTTTCATTATCCTCAATATTCCTTTATACTTATCTTCTAATTTCCTCTTTATGCCTAAAGTTCTTGAAAAAAAAAAAAACCAACAAAACTCAGTATCTCTGTATCTCAAAACCTAGTTGATCCCTCATAATATGGTTTATATTCAACACTATTTATACTGACTTCCTGAATATCTAAAAGAAAGATTTAGATGATAAAATCTAAATGGCATACATATGTATATACACTTTGTACCATAAACAAGATAGATTAAGTCTGCTTGCAGTAGTTTATACTTTAGTGAGATAAAGAGCAAGAAATAAGTATATAACAAGCAGATGCAGATGGCTTGTGCCTGTAATACAGATTGGAAAACAGTTCACAAGACCATCTCCAAAATCACGTGGTAAAGCACCTGCTTTGCAAGTGCATAAGCTCTGAGTTCAAATAACAACAAAGAAATATGTAGCAACAAAGTGGTCAAAGGGATGTTGATGAAGCTATGATAGAGTTGGAGATAGTTACTTTAAGCTGGTGATCACAGTCTCATTAAGGATATAACGATTAAGATGAGAGCAGACTAAGAAAATGGAGATATGCTAGGCACTGTGGCTCACGCCTGCAATCCTAGCTAAGGCAGAGCAAAAGGATCATGTCCGATGCCAGCCCAGGCAAAAAATAGTTCATGAGACCCTATCTTGAAAAAACCCATCACAAAAAAGGGGCAGTGGAGTGGCTTCCGTTGTAGGCTCTGAGTTCAAGTTCCAGTACCAAAAAAAAAAAAGAAAAAGAAAATGGAGATATAGTAATATCAGGGAGGAAGTGCTGGCCAAAGAGAACAGTTGAGTACAGAGGTCTCAAATCTTAGAGATTTGACAAATATACATATCAGAATGTCTGGAACAATGTTCCTAAGGAAATGTAATGGGCCATGAGGGTGAGGAGGCAGGAAGGGCTAAGATATCAGAGATCAATATAAAGAATGTGGATTAATCCTAAATGCAAAGAGAAGCAACCCCAGGGGCTTTATCAAGGGAAGCATGAGATTTATCTATATTTGAGCTCATCTGGGTTGCAATGTGAAAGGTGGGCTGAGGTTGAAGAAGAGGCCAGTTAGGAACCTACTGAGGTAACCAGGAAAGATAATAGTGGAAAGGAAGAAAATAATAGGCTGCCATTTGTTTTAAAAAGTTCCTCTCAATGATTTCCAGAAATTTCTGCTTTTCTAATTTTCTTTACTCTGTCCACATTCAGTACTAGCACTGAATCAGTACTTGTAAACCTCATAGCATTTACAAGTTCTTTAACTGCATTATTTATCATAAATTTCCAAAGCAATTCTGTGGCCTTCATAACATTATCATTTATAGTTTGTGTATGAGAATTCATATTAAAAATATGACTGAACCTGTCTAAGGAGACAGAACTGGAAGAAATGGCAGTATAGGAACCTTACGTCATCTCTCCTGACAACAAAACTTTTCTCTTGCTATTCAACCACATTGCTGTCTTCTGTTCTTCTGGTTTCCTTTTCCTCTCCCCATACTCTACCAAATGTATCTACTCTCCAAGGGTCTTTCTTCCTAGTTTTGGTGTCTTCCTCCACAATGTTCTTACTGTGGGTCTATTTCTAAACATCCCTTCCAGCCACTGGAGGCTCTCCCAATCCTATTGCTTCCAAATGCTGTACCATTCTTCCAGGTAATGTCTTATTCACAGTTGAACCTCAATATTACCAGAATTAAACTCCTTTTTTTCCAAGTGTCCTCTGCCCTTGGGTTCTATTTGCATTTCTGATACTGCCATCCTCAAAACCTCTTTCACTTGTGACTCTTTCTGCCACACAATTTTAAGTTGCTTGTCTAGTCCCAATGGCTCCATTATTTTAGTACTGTGCACTATCAACTCTCATCTGGACAAGGGAAATCCCGTATAGCTGGTCTCCTTGTAGTGATCTCACTTTCCTTTGATTCACTTTGCATGCAATACTGGGTTAAAAATCTCTTAAAATAGGCCAGCAATATTTACCAATTTAAGGTAGTATTCAAAGGTCCCTATGATCTAGCACAAATCTACTTTAAACTTTCCCCATCTATTCACCCCAGAAAAATAAACTTCTAGTCATTTCCCAGCTATATCTCATTCCTACTAGTAATGAAGATTTTATTCACACTATCTTTTCTCTGGAATAACTTTTCTTTTTTAAGCTACCTCATCATTCCCCTCTTATGTGCTCTTAACTGTAAAAATCCTAAAAGACAAGCTGTTGACTAAGTGATCATCTTTGCACTCTCAAATGTGCTCAAACCAGTGCCTTGTTCACCGAGACAGTGTTTAACGCTTAATACTTGTGAATGAGTTCATGAAAAATTGTGAAGATCTGCTGTCAAAACATTTTATAAGAGGGAAAGTCTACAAAATATGACTTTTACAAAACTAAGAAGATGATAGTTAAATCAGTAATAAAAATTTTAAAAATTACATAGTGCATTATCTTATTAAAGGCCATCATTTTCAAATTTTAATGAGAAGGAATCTATTTCTACTTACCTGCTGCTGAAACCTAACCATATTCATCAATTGCTGAGCTCCTGGTGATAACTTTGAACCCATGGACTCCATTATGGTTTGGATGTTGTCAAGATCTAACCTTGATCCTAGAGCAGGAAAGCTGGGTGAAGAATCTGCTGAGACTGGTCTCATGTGTACCACAACTTTACTGATGAACACACACTGCTTTTCACCAAAGGACAGCAACTATTATGAAAGAAAAAGTTTCAGAAAATAATAATGATATTTTTTAAAAGATCATCATTTAAGGTCATTTCTTGGTATTGCCAAAGCAAGAGAGGGATATTAGAATCTAAAAATTAAGTTCAAATATATTTTTAAGTTTTCTTTATAGTAGTCATAGAAAAAAATTCCAATTTATTACAACACTCAGATCAACTATGTAAATAAATCTTACTCAAACTAAAAGATGCACATGAAATAAAAAATAGGCAGTTAAAGTTTTACTTACTTAAGGAATTAAAAACGAACCACACAAATCTGAGACCTTGACAAACACCTTAATTTGCTTTAATATTTTTTAGTACAACATAACAATGTCCAGAAGCCATTGCAGTTTTACTGAAATTCTAAACATAATTCAGTCTTTTGGAATTTAGGACTGTGAGGGAGTGACAACATGATACAATTTAACTTAGTTTACACACAAAACACAAAGGTGAGTTTGGGGTGATTTTCTCACTTGTCAAAGGAGACTCAATGAGTAAAAGTCAAGCTTGGAACCTATGCTGCTGGCTTCTCTCACAGTAGTTTTTCCTTTTTTTTTTCCTTTTCTTTGCAGAGCTGGGGATAGAACCAGGGTCTCAAGAATGCTACACAAATGTTCTACTTCTAGGCTCTACCTGCAGTCTCTGATGGTTTAGGCTGTCCATATTTCTGAATCAAAACACATTTCACATGTGGTACACCCAAGAGAGTAGCAAAATGGGAAGGGAACAGGTTTTAGATCAGACACACACATGGGCTTAAGTTATGACTCTCCTACTCAACAACCTGTGTGACCCTGGGGCAAATGCTACATCTGAATCAACAATAAAATGAGAGAGGATAATAGCAATGACTTCACGTGGTGATTAAAAGGTTTATATGCAAAATATCCACTATCTATTACTGAGTAGGTGGTCAAAACTCTTTATTAGGAATACTTATTTTTATTTTACCTTTCACGTACTACTGCCCCAGATTAAGCTTCATGTATACCCAAGGGGTTACCTAAATGAAAGGACCCTCTGCACTCTCATGTGCTTACACAGAACAGTTACAAAAAAATATTCACTTGAGAGACATACACAGACCCTTGTGTCAGAGATGGAAGTCAATATAGATCCATGACCTAAAAATTCTGAATGTGGCACCCAAATAAGTGATAGTCCTCTACAATTAAGAAACACCTATTAAACTTATTGTCTACCTCCAAACCTCCCTATTATCCCTCTTGTTTTATAATCCCAAGTCTTTCTCACCATACATATATGTATCTCACTGAGTGAATCTACGTGTTACCTGTCTTGCGTCACTAAAATATGAGCCACATGAGGGAGGCAGTTCACGTTATCTTATAATTTATAATTCCTGAATGTCTAGGACAGTATCTCGAATCAACAAGCACTCAAATATTTGCTGGATGAATGAGATCACTTTATTTAAATGGCTTTAGAAGCTATTGGAATATACTACCTAAAGCAACATCCTGAAATAATGAGTTCTGTGAATTTGCTCTCTGACTGCTGTGGAAATCACTTTTTTTTTCCTTACCCTAAAACTAAGTCTCACAACTTTCTGTAACTGATGACAATTAACAAATAATTTCAGAGATGAAAAGAACCTAATAATTTGGTGTCTTCAGTCCCTTAATTTTACTCATAAAGTAGGTCCAAACAGGACGTAAGCTGGCCAAGGACAAAGAGCTAGTCAGTAACAGAGCTGAATTAATAACAGGGTTCAAGATTTCCAACCCTGTACCCAATTCCTAGTCTCTTCTGACATCACTAATGTTCACCCTCACAATTTTTCATGCTGAAGACAACAGTCCAAACTCCTTTAAATTTTTGGTTCTCTTGTCTGAAACTTCTCTTATCCATGGGACCAAAGTTTTGCTTGTGGGTTTTTTTTTTTTTTTTAACCACAGTTTTACATACAGATTTAAAAAAAATCTTCTTAATTCAGTTTCCCCAGGCCTCAAAATACAGCACCACTACACTGACAAACACATTTTCCATGGGTAATAAATGCTAACACTTTAAAAGAATTCAGTATTAAGAAGGATTGATCATTTTCTTAGAAAAGTAATTTCCTTCAACATGTATACTAAGAATTTCTGAAATAAACAGGGACCAAGGACTTGTACTGCCAAATCAACAGAAAATACAAAGATACAGAAAGACAACTTAGTTAAAATTTAAATTAGTTAAAATTGATGATGACTTACCTTTATTTTACAAGTATGTGTGGAAGATTCCAATTTTAGATACTTTTTGTACAAAATAATCTTTTCATGTTCACTAAAAGTAAAAAAGAATTTTTTACTTTCATCCATTACATTTAAAAGTGTTTCCATGACAAAACTTTCACCCTGAGATTCCCTTTTCCTGGTAAAGCAAAATGTGTTGGGACCCCGACCACTGGAGTATAAGGACCACATCTATTACATCTAGTAAATCCACTTACTAACTATATGAGAAAACTGAATGAGATAACACATACACAATCACATTTTAAAGCTCAAAAAACACAGTTATTTCCAACATGTGAGGATGTAAAACAGTTCATTTTGAGGATTATATTAAGACTGAGGCAGAATCTTTGTAAGAGGCCAAGAAGAAAATGACAAATTGTAAGTTTTATAACAGGTTAATAAGTAGGCTGACATGGCAAAGTCTTAGATTCCTATACCATTTGCCACAGGCTTCTTAGAAGAAAATGTGTTGTGTTTCAGACTAACTAATGTCTGGAAGACATATCCCTGTGAGTTAAAGGAGACAGGAAACACTTCATTCAATAACATTTATCCACTAATTAGCAACAACTGTTTACCAATTCACTTCCAGTTTCCACATTTATAAAAATAGGCTGATCTAGACTGTCATTAAAAGGCCTAACAGTCTAACATTCTATACTTACTGGCACATTTTTTATATTCTCTCTAGACACAATAACTATCGCAAAACCCAGGAAAAAACAAAGAAACAAACTGAAACATTTTCGTCTGGACAAATCACAAACCTGTTATCCAGGGCAGTGCAGACATTCTTGCCTCTGCTGGTTCCACAGTACTCCTCCCCTAAGTATACTTCCATATTTCTTGCTGAACTTAGAATGCCAACAGAAAGGATTTCTTCACCTCCATTAGGGCCACACCTCAGGTAAAGGAAGCAGGGGTGTTCACTTCGGGAGCTCAGGCTGTTCTTCAGACTCACCAGATCCTGGCTACGAAGAAAATTGATTTAAAAACAATAAATACAGTGCAGTTTTTTTGGACTGTGCTCACAACCCCCATTTCTTCTCATGTCCACTATCCTGAGGTCCAAATCCTCCCAAACATCAGAGATGCTCAGCACAGAATCAATAAGGGATGGAGGCTTCCAACGTCAGGGCATTCCCCTTGCTTTTTCCTGATGATGGGCATTCTACTCAGTCCTGGGACTGAGTCTCGGTTAATTAAACACTTCTACCCGACAGCTTCTGTGCGCACAGAAAAGACAAGTGAGTCTTTTTCTAAGTAGACGCGGTTCCCTATCATCGGGCTCTATTTACTTACTCTTCACACCTGTCTGTGGGGACAAAAGGTCTCTGGGGAAGGCGGGCGAGGCGGACTCAGACGGACACGAGACGTGGCGAGCTGCCCCGACGGACACTGGGATCCGGGAATCCGAGTGTCCAGGCCGCTCCCGCCTCCCAGCCAGGCCGCCCGCCGCCCACACGGCCCGGCCCGACCCCGCCGACCCGGGACCTCGCCCGCCTCGCAGGCCCGCTCCCCGGCCAGAGCCCCTTCCCGCTGCCCCGACCCCTCCCGGCTCCCCAGGAGCGCGCCTGTCACCGAGCGCCACGACCCCATCCCCGCCGGCGCGGCGCACCCCGGAGCAGGCGGCGCCAGCAGCTCCTCCCAGTCCACGTCTTGGGCGCCGACACCAGTCCGGGCGAGAAGAAGGCTCTGGGTCAGGGCCCCGCACTCTGCATCCCAGGAGGAGGTCAGCGTCGGGACGCGGGTCAGACCCACGTCCTCGGTCCTGGTCTCCATTCCGCCGCCTCCAGCCCAGGACAGCCCCGGAACCTCTCTCGCAGGGCTTGAGTTTCCGACAGTGCAGAATGGAAGTGAGGACGCAGAGCGACTTCCGGCCTGTCCGACTTCCAACTCCAGACGAGTGGCGCGTCTCTCACCAAGGCGGAGACACGCATGCGCCTGCCGTCTTGCTGCAGGAGGGCGTTCAAATCTGCAGGCCAAGAGATCGAGGGCAGGGCATGTGCGCTGATTGCTCCAGTGCACCTGCCGCTAGGGCAGTGCGCAGGCGCAGTGCGTTGCGCGCGGAACGGGAACGTTTTTCGACGTTGGCTGTGGGGAGCTAGCCGGCGGCGCGCACAAGGAACGGTTGCGGGACGGATGGGGAAAGGGGGTAGGGTGAGGAGTCTGTGGGCAGGTGGGTGTGGTCTCGCTCCACGCAACCCGCGGGACCTACTTCTGACCCGATGACCCCGGAAGTGGACGCCCCGGCCCTTCCAGCCTCCAGCGTATGGCTCGGGAAGCGCGTCTGCCGTGCTTGGGGCGCCCAGCGTGGCGGACGGCCGTCAACTGGGGCCGGAATTTTACTCCACACCCGCCACGTGCGTTCTCGCCTTAGAGAGAGCTGCGGTGGAGGCTGGCAGTTGAATGGCGTCGCGTGACCGCGGTGCCCCGTGGCATCTCAGTCGGGAGTTGTCGTCGCCCCGGGCCGAGGGACGTGGGTGGCCTTGGGTGGTTGGACGCCCGAGAGGACGGAAATATGAAGGGTGTTGAGGTCTGCGCGCCTGGCTGACGGCATGGAAAGGGACCTCGGGCCTGTGGAAGTAGATTCCGAATTGGGACTTGCAGGAAGACCTTGAAGCTGGGGATGGGGAGAGGAGGTGGGACTGGGAGCTTTTTAAATCCCCGTAGGGTAGAAAGATGAACAAGTGTGCATGCCCAGCATCTCCTGGAGAGGCGGGTAGACGATTGTTGACACCTTTAAAAAGGAAATTCGTTTACAGAAACGTGGACTGTCGGAGTTGTGCAGTTATGTTTAAGGTGGTATTAAACTCTAGGAATAGTTTTGCTCGCGCATAATTCTAGTTTTGTCTTAGAACTTACTCTGTTATCACTCGGTATCGGTGACTTTAAAATTTTGTTTACTTAAGTTATCATTGAAGTTTAGCTAACTGTGAACAGAATGATCTGCGTTATGCTTACCCGTGTGCTAGGCCTAGAAAAATGATGACTGAATGTATTTTCCTATAGATAATAGATAATCACCAGTATACGGTAGCCGAATTCACCAAGATTGAAAGAAGTCCAACCAAAGGTCGAATATGCACCGAATCCAGAAATACTAGTCTTTAACTGTAAATATCTTAGTTTTCAAATAAATAATCCACTCAGTGTAAATATTCACTGTGATTTCAGTGCTACATTGCCTGCTTTCGCTAGTTATAAGTTAATTCTGACGAATATATATGGACAGGCCAACGAAAATAGGCTCTTTGGAAACACTAATCTGCAATTTCATGAACAAAATCAATAATACCATGTGGGATTTTATTTCCTTCAATAAGTATGATGATTCAGGAATCAGAAAACCAAAAAGTTCTGTGGTCTCCCCCTTCCTTCCATTCCCATACAGCCAGTAAATCACAGTCTTCATTCTCTTAAAAACTCTTCATCTCTGCCTTATTATGTTTAAAGCACCAGTTTCATCTGAACAGTTCCAGGAATTTCTTTACTGGTCCTTAACCTTTATTCTCATCACCTCCACACTGTCCTCTTCTCTTCCCCTCTGCCCCTTTCGGTGGTTTATGCTGCCGACTGACTGAGTCAGCCTCGCCTTTACTCCTTGCATGGCATATAAAGGCCTTTGTACTCTAACCTCTGACTTCCTCCCAGTTTATCTAGAATACCATTTCTTTCCAATACCTGAGAAAATGTGTTTATCATCCAAAACCGAGCTGAATTCCATTCTGCTACAGTATTGAACGCTGTGCTACATTGCACCCTTTTAGGTACCATAATTCTCTTGTAGTCTCAGATTTAGCCAGCTCATATATTTTTGTTCCCTATTACCCCCATACTTGTTAAGATTAGAAATTATGTTGTGCTTGGTAGAGTTGTTAAGTACAACAGTATATACAGCCACATTCATGATAGCAAAATGTTGGAACAACCATAAGGTCCACCAACAGGATGAGTAAGTTACATCTACAAATGAAATATTCAACTAAAATGAACGAACAACATCAGTTTACAATACTGTGGATGACCCTTAGTAATATTAATATAAAATCACATCCCTAAACGTTACAAATTGCAGGATATCACTTACAACTTTTAAAACTTAAATAATTTTTAGGACTATAGATACATAAAGAGGGGGTAAGTGTGGGGTTCCAAATGATGATTATCTGGGTTGGATGAATATTCATGTTTCACCACAGAAATAGTAATGGTACTATCCTGAATACCCACTGAGAGTCATACGTATTATATGTATTACCTGTCTACATTATTAAAAAATCAGAGCACATTTAGATGCAGTGATTCCAGTACAGAGACTGTGATCTGTAGAAGCCTATAATGAAAAGGTGGCAAAGAGGATAGAGAAATATTTTGAAGGAGGAATGGAGGAAACTTGCCTATGAACTGCATTTGAGGGTGAAGAAGGTGGAAGGATCAAGGATGACTCCTAGGTTAGCTGGATGGATGGTAGGGCTTTTTATGGAAAAGAAAAAGTGGGCTACATAGGTTTTGAAAGGTAATCAGATTGGCGAAGCAACAAATATTTAAATCTGTAATAGCTACAATTGGACTGAACTTGAAGTAATTTTCAGATACTACTTCCCTATTAATTCTTTCCCAGTTGCCTTGATTCCAGCAGATGCCTGTCAGTCTCTGATCCACTTTCCCATTCTGGACAGACTTGTTCCCTAATCCTAGTCCAGTTACTCCTTCCTTCCTACAGGTTGAATAGTAGGGAATGAGCACTTGTAAACCTCTCCCATAGGTACCCAATCTCTGTCATGTTCATCAGGCTTCTTTTGATACAGAAGGCTTTTTATCAGACTTGATCCACCAAACATACTGACCTCTCTCCCTCTCTGTTTTGCCAGCTTTGCCCAGGCTGGTCTTGAACTCACCTCCTGAGTAGCTGGGATTATGGGCAGGAACTACCACATCCAGTTTTTTCCAAATGTGTTTTGGTCTTCAGTTGGTTGAATCCACAAATACAGAAGTACATGGATACCAAGGACCAACTGTACTTAATATTGTCAAAATGTCACATCTTAAAATGATAGTTCTTCCCAACTTGATCTGTAGATTCAATGCAATCCTGATCAATTCCAGCAAGTTGTTTGACAAATTATCAACAAACTGGTTCTAAAATTTATGAGGAGAGGGTAAAGAACTAGTGGGGCCAACAAAGTAACTGAAAAGAGAAGGACCAAGTTGGAGGACCAATCCCAGGACTTACTATGAAGCTACAGTAATCAAAACAGGATGGTTTTGGGAAAAGAACAGACAGATCAATGAACAAAAAGGAGAATCCAGAAATAAACCCACATTAGTCAACTGATCTTTGGCAAAGGAACAAAGGCAACACAATAGAGAAAAATCTTTTCTACAACTGCTGCTGGAACAAACAAGATCCACATGTAATTAAGCAGGGTTCAGTAGCTCACAACTGTAATCTCAACTACTCAGGAGGTGGAGATCGGGAGGATCATGGTTTGAGACCAGCTGTGGCAAAAAATAGCAAGACTCTATCTCAATAAGCTGGGCATGGTGGTGTGCTGTGATCCTGGCTGCACAGGAGGCTGTAGGTGGGAAGCTATCGATAGGCGCATCATGGTGGGAGGCCAGTCCCAGTGTAAACATGATACCCTGCCTGAAAAATAACAAGCAAAAAAGGGCTGGGAGTGTGGCACTGCCTAGCAAGTGCAGAGCCTTGAGTTAAAACCCAAGTACCACCAAAAAAAAGAAAAGAAAAACTCACGTAGACAGTAAGCAAGGTGTGGTGGTGTATGACTAAAATCCCAGCAGTCTCGGGAGACTGAGGCAGGAGGGTCTCAAGTTCAAGGCCAGCCTTAGCTACATAGAGACCCTCAAAAAAACAAGACAAAACAGTAACAGCAAATTTGACATAGGCTTTATATCTGCCACAAAATTAAAAATGAATCATAAACCAAAATGTAAAACAAACCTATAAAATTCCTAGAAGACAGGAGAAAATCTAGATGACTTGGCTTGTTGATGGTTTTTTACTTAAAACATCAAAGGCATGACACTTCAAGAAATAGTGGAAAAACTGGATTTCATTATAATTTAAAACTTCTGCTCTGTAAAAGAACGTGAAACCAGAGAGGGGAAAAATTTGCACAAGACATGATACACTGTTACCTAAAATACACAAAACTAAACACTATGACCATATAATCCAACAATTGTTTATGGCAGCTTTATTCATAATTGCTAAAACTTGGAAGGGGCCAAGATGTTCATCAGTAGGTAAATGGAAAAATAAGCCGTGAGACATTAAAATAGTATTTAGTGCTAAAAAACAAGCTATCAAGCCAGGAAGAGACACGGAGGAAACTTAAATGCATATTACTAAGGGAAAGAAAAATCTAAGAAGATTTTATGATTCCAACCACATGTTGGCCACATTTTCAACACATCCCTTTATGAGTAAGAAGTATTTATCTCCTAAAAATAAGATCAAAGTGCAATCCGAGCCGGGCATGGGTGGCTCATGTCTGTATTCCTAGCCATTTGGGAGGCTGAGATTGGGAGGACTGTGGTTTGAGGCCATCTTAGGAAAATAGTTTATGAGACCCCCATCTGCAAAAGTAACCAGAGCAAAATGGACTGGAGGCATGTCTCAAGCAGTATGGCACTTGCTTTGCAAGCACAAAGCTCTGAGTTCAAACTCCAGTCTCACCAAAAATTAAAAAGTAGACTGAATTTCTTCTACATCACACTCCCACACAAAACTTTGGTACTTTTCCACAGCTTAGTATTACTTTTGTTTAATATTAAAATACCTGTGTTCTCTGCCTGTGTGCACTGGACCTGGAGTCTAAGGGATGTTCCTTTACTGCCTTTATTTTGGCACACTTGCTAGGACCCAGTAATACTGACTTTGCCCTTGCACTGTTCACATCCAGGAAGGGCCGTGGAGTGCGGTCCTCGCTTCGCCTACTAGCCTTTGATTTCCCATTATTTACTTGCTAAAGCTTGCTAGAGGAAAAGGCTCTAAGTCTCTTCTGGGTTTTTTTCTGGGCAGGATTTCCCTAACCAAACCAAGGCTCAAATCCTAATGGCTTGCAAGTTTCCAGCAAGGAAGATGATTCCACCAGAAGATTAATTCCAACTCTCGGGACACTTTAGAAATGTTCAGGAGGTTGGAAACGCGGCGCTGAGGACTCCCCAGCATAGAGAACTTGCCAGACCCACAGCTGGAGCCTAAGGTTCAGGGGACCACGAAGGCGCCCTGGACCAAGCATCCTTTCTTGGACCTTAAATCTCGCCTGTTCGTCCTCCGCGCCGCCAGGGGGCGCATCAGAGCGCTGGGATTCTGCGCATGCGCGCCGGGCCGACGGTGTGTCGGGGAGCCCGCCCCGGCCGCCAGCCGCCTCCACACCAGCAGCATGCAGACCACCGGGGACACCGGAGGAGCGGGTGGCGAGGGGCCGCGGGAGCTGGCACTCTGCGTCCTCTGTGGCTTGCCCGCGGCGGGAAAGTCGACCTTCGCGCGTGCGCTCGGCCACCAGCTGCGGCAGGAGCGGGGCTGGGCGGTGGGCGTCCTCTCCTACGACGACGTCCTGCCCGACGCGCCCCTGGACGGGGCGTGCGCGCGACCGCCGGTCAGCAGCCGGGGAGGGGCGGCCTGGGGCAGGGGGACGGATGGGTGCTGTGCTGACTGTAGTGAGCGCCTGCTGTGTGCCAGGCGGTGCCTGTGTGGGAGATGGAGGCCTGGCAGGTGGACAGACGAGAGGTGGACGCGGGGCTGGGTTAACACCGCAACGAGTGAGTGAACCGTAGAAATCTGTCAGCTATGCAGTACGATGCATCTGATCTAGAATGGTGCACTGCAGAGGTTTATATGTGCATTTATGTACTGTACTGCTTGTCCGTGCGGTGTTGTCCTTCCTGGTGTCCATGCTGGCCTTGAACTCCTGGGCTCAAGAATCCTGCGTAGCCTTTCCTGTGGCTGGGACTACAGGCACCACCGCGCCCCACACGGGAATCTTAAGGCAGGGTTAAGTTCAGTGTTCAAGGTGGAAATTTCTCATAGTCAGATGAACTGATAATTCCTTGCAAGTTTCTTCTTAGAGAAGGGAAGGAATCTCTAAAAGATTGCGACATAGCCAGGTTAACACCAGGTTTTGTTGGTCTTGGGCCATTTGTGAAATCCTCTTAAGAAAAAGAATACAAGTTGTAAATAACAAAATTGCTAGGGTTCCTTCAAGAAAGAGAGGCTGACCAAATGAAGGGTCTGGGCTGCTGAGGCTTTGGCTGTTTCTTAGTTGACCACAGAAGACATAAACGGCTTGTTTTTAGGAGTGAGCTTCTGTGTGCTAAGTGCACACTTGACCTTAAGCTCTCCACTTAACTTCCCAGTGAGATGCACCCCTTTGGAGAAGCACATGGAAACTGATCCACCTGGGAAAGAGTAATGTCATCTATCGCATACTCACTCTAGAGCAAATAGTCTTTGAAATAAAGTGTTATGTTCATTGCTTAATGCCTGAATATAGACACGTTCACAAAATCAACTGCAAATATGGTGTGACTCCACCCTACTAGTGTATATGCAAAGATACGGCGATATTAAGTATGTGGAAAAATTCATTAGTCTGCTTCTTCATTCTTGGTTAATTATGAGGTAAATACAATATCACAGTAGCACAGGTCTGATTTGTTTGATAGTATTTTCACTACTCAGGAGGATGCTGAAAGTTGCTGATAGATTGGTTGTATTCCCCCACCTTTATTACTAGATATTTTCCACTCTTCCCCTGCAGAGGACATGGGACTCATTTAGTCACCATGATTAGAACATGTCACCTTTTATGAAGTGATAAATGTTTGCTTTTTAGTGGGTTTAGCTGATGTGCTTGTATGCGGTATAATAGTGGTAAGGCATGGACAGGCAGAAGAGGTCGCTTTGGTGTTTTCCCTCCAGTGCTCTCTCTAGAGCACATAACCAACACAAGACTACTTGTACTCCCAGGCTGCTTATGTTCTTCCCCACAATCTGTTTCCTCTGTCTTTCCTAATCCTACAACTTAGCTGTTAACCTGAGGTCTTTCCTTCTTGACCTAAGGATCTTTCAATTGACTGACCTTGTTGTCTACAACCTTTTTCATTCAAGGGCAAACCGGCATTGTTATATCTTAGCCAAACTACTTCAGTTTGGTAAGATACTGATTTTGGCTTTTCCTTTCTCCTTGATGGTAACAGCTTTTCATTCTCTCATTTATTTCCTCACCCAGTCATTCATGCATTTAAACACTCCTGGAGCATCTTTGAGGTGGCAGGCTCTCAGCTGGAAGCTGGGTATACAGTGGCCTGGTGGTCTAGCAGGAAGATAGAGTCATGCAAACAAATGCCTGAACCACAGAAGGCCTGCTAGAGTGGAGACCTATGTACAAAGTGGGGTGTCATGATAAGCAAGGGAGGGGCTGGGTTGCCTTCTCCATTGTTGAGTCAAGAAGGCTTTCACACAGTGCTAGGAACATTAAATAAGAGTTTTCCAAGCAAAGGGAGAGGTGTATATGAAGACATGGAAGCCTGAGAAACTCCAAATGGTTCAGTTTTGTAAGGTGAAATTTCATGTGAGACAGGGTGATAGTGAAGCCAGATGACCACCCTACTGGCCAAAGCCTAATGTAAATTGCAGTTCTCTGGTCTTTTGTAGCCATCCCGGTGGAAAGCGCTTCGGCAGGAACTGCTGAAGTATCTGGAGTGTTTCCTGATGGCTGTCATTAACAGACGTCCAGTGTCTGCCCCAGCCAGCAGGACTGAAGCCATGTGGGAAGATTACGTAACCTGCTTAAAGGCTCAAGATTTGGTATTTCCTGCAGAACTTGAGACCCAGTCTTGCTACCTCTTGACCAAAACTGCTATTTCCAGACCTTTGATTTTGGTTTTAGATGACAACTTTTATTATCAAAGTATGAGATATGAAGTCTACCAACTGGCTCGGAAATGTAACTAAAATGTATTTTTTCTTACATGTGGACACATTTATTAATGTATCAAAATAATCTCTGCTTTCTTCATTGAGAATTTGTATGAATTTAGCTTTAAAAGCTAGGTGTCAGTATTGCAAATGTAATTTTTCCTGGTTCAGCTGTGATTATTTGTCTAATATATATATATATATATATATATATGTATACACACACACACACATATATATATTTATTTATTTATTTCACATTTTGCAACGATAGACCAGTAACTTGGTGATTTTTAAACTGTTTTCAGATTCACTAGGCTTTTGCCAGCTCTTTTTAGATTGTCCTCTGGAGACCTGTTTGCAGAGGAATGGTCAGAGACCACAGGCACTGCCTCATGAGATCATCCACCTGATGGGGAAAAAGATAGAAAAGCCCAACCCTAAGAAAAATGCTTGGGAACACAATAGCCTCACACTTCAAAGTCCAGCATTTCCTTTGGAGGCCAGGTATCCTACTCAAAATGTCCTCCCACGGTGCTCCCCTGTGCTAGGCTTATTTATTTATGCTAAATAAATGCTTAACCTTATTCTCTTGGCTAATCCTCACATAGGCCCTGGAGTTACACATGTGAAAGAGCAAACTGAAGTGAGAAAGTTCAGTTTGACCCGAGTCATCAAACTTGTGACAGCTGAGATTTGAACCTAAGTTTGTTTATAAAGTTTGCTCTTAACTGTTAGGAGTATAACACCTCACAGAGACGGGGCAGGGAATTCATAACAAAACATGTTTGATACTCTCACCAAAATAGTCTAAATAGGTGGTCCAGTGTTTTTTTTTTTTTTTTTTTTTTTTTTTATAGAAAGAAGTCTGTGGGCTGCAGATATCTCTGTGGTAGAGCACTGCTTAGCCTGGGCAGGCCTTGAGTTTGAGACCTAACACTGCAAAAATAAAAAGAACTGATAATGAATCCTAATTTGCCTAAAAGCTTTATTTTTTCATTTTGGCAGTACTGGGTTTGAACTCAGGGCCTTGTGCTTGCAAGGCAGATGCTCTACCTCTTGAGCCAAGCCCCCAGCCCTGCCTTAAAGCTCGTTAGTAACTCTGCTGATGTGTATGTAAGGCTCATGGGTTCTGGCATCTTAATACTTTCCATCATGATGTTAGTCTCCAGAGTTCTAGAGCAGCACATTTCTAGAAATTTCATTAAGGATGGACATGTGTATTGGTACTGTCCAGTACAGTAGCAGCTAGCTACATCTGATGACTGCTCACTTAATATATATAATACAACTGAATACCTGAATTTTTATTTAATCTGATGTTAGTTAAACTTAGTGCCGTTGTGTTGACAGTGCAGTTCTTGAGGTATGTTGCTCATATTTCCTTAGTTCAATTTTTAAAAGGCTAATTTTTAAAAACTCATTCCTCAAAATGTTTAGTTGCCAAGATAGTTTCTATACATTTTATAAAATTAACATACCCAAAACAAAATAAAAATTGCATTTAAGTGGCTACTACAGATGCAGTTTATGAAATAAATTCTTGGGGAGGTTTCCAGTTTTAATTTGTCATAGTGTCTTGAAACTTTGAGCAGGCATATAGCCAATTGATTGCTACTCTTTCTGGGATAAATTTGTTTCCTTTGGAAACGAGTAGTGGGTTGGGACACTGGGATGTCCCATTAGAGTGGCATACAGTTATCACTGCTTTGGGGTTTTTTATTTTTTATTGTATGTGTGTTTGTGGTTTTGGGGGGATCTCTTTTGGCAGTACTGGGGTTTGATCTCAAGGTCTTGCGCTTGCTAGACAAGCATTCTACCACTTGAGCCACACTCAACAACCCATCATCACTGCTTTGACACCGTAAGACATAGGCCTCAGTAGAAGTGAAGAGAGTGTGGATATCTATATTGTGACTGGCATCCCTTACCACAATCTGCAGTTTTGTCCCAAGTCTTAAGAATGTGTTCACCTGTGCTCATATCCAAATAGTCACAGGGTAACTGAACAGGCAGAGTGGAATCTGGTAGCCCTTGTATTGGACATTGAAAAGTGATCTGATAAATGTAACTTTTCCAGGCTTCAAAGAAATAATAATCACAGCAGCTAGAGCTATTGATCACATTCTAAGTATGGGATATATCTCTGAACATTAGTTAGATATATATACAGTTTCATTCAATTCTCACAACCACCGTTTTAGGGAAGAAAGTGCAGTCCTCATTTTTATGGATGGGATAACTGAGGCCCAGGTAAATGAAGCATCATGCCCAGGTAGTGCAAAGCCCAGGGGCCCAGTGAAATCTCACTCCAGAACCTGGGCTCCTCCATGTTTAGTGGTCATCTTGAGGTTGAGCTGTCACGTGATAAGCTCACTGACTTAAAATTGTTGAGCTCTATTCCCTATACTTTGAGTAAACTACAACTCCAGACCGTGACTTACATACTCTAATAATTGTGACTAGCCTTTCAACTTCATATCCTCCCCCTTTCCCTACCCCCTTGCTACTTGTAAGCCAAAGTGGCCTTCCCTGTTCCACAAGTTTATTCTTGCCTCTGGACCCTTGAGCTTGCTGTCCCCTCTACCCTTCCCACATACTTAAGCTGACTGCCTAGCCTGGTCATTTAACTAGAGTAAAGTTGTTAGCTGGACTACCTAATCCCTCACCAGGGTCACTTTGTTGCCTTCATTCATCTACTTACCACTGTCCAAAATTATTTTTTGCTGTATTTATTTGTCTCTAGTATATTATCAGGCTTGAAAGGACAGGAATCCCGTGGCACCCCCAGATTATCACAAAGTTTCACATATGTAGTTGTACAACATTTTTCATATAAGATAATAAATATTTGTTAAATGGATGAATGAACTTTACTTCAATCCTTAATTGACCCTTGATCAGTGAGGAACTTTGCTAATCCTTTTCTAGTAAATAAGCAGAAGCCAGAAAGTAAGAACTTATCATCTCTCTTTAGGGACTAAAAGTTTTAGTAGCCTACAGTCCAGTATTTAATAGGGGAAGAGAATGACTTGTCAAACTTACTGATAAAAGTCTAAGAAATTTAATATGATGTAACAGGGTTGGGCTTATAATATTTTGAGCTACTAAATATGCAAGTGGAGGGTAGCTTCCAAATGATTTATTTTTCCCCCTTTCATTAAGGATGTTGGATTATAGTAATTGTACTTTAGAATTCAGTTTAGTACTAACACAAGTTCTTTAAAAACAAGTGTTTGATGTAAGGATTTATTGTATTTTATCCTACTTTCTCTGTAGCCTGCAGGTGATTGATTTATTGCTTACTGCTTTGGAAAATCCAGTAAAGTATGTTGAAGACAATATGGAACAAAAGGTAAGGCTTCCAGTATAGATTTAGTATAAATGGAAAGAACATTTGTAGGAGTAAACACGGAAGACACGATCGGGGGTTTGGCGTCTCACCTGCGTTCAGCTTCTGACCCCCGGATGCAGTGAGCTGTTGCATCTTGTGCAGGCCAGCCAAAGCCTCACACTGAGGTATCAGGAATGCTTCAGCCTGTCAGTGCTATGTTGGTACCTTGAAACGGACAGGAATGGGAATGTTTGTACAACAGAAATAAGCAAACACTACACACAGGTATAAGGGATTTGTTTTTGTTTTTGTTTTTTCTGGAAAGCCAGTTACTAGACATTTACCAGGATACCACTGCTTAGAGGGAACACAGTTTACAATTGGACATAACTCATCTGGACTCTTTCCTAGGGAAAAATAATGAAAGGAAAGCCACTTCAGCTTTTCTTTTAATCCCTTCAAATATGAGTCACCTATACTTCAGCCATTTCTTTTATAAAACTGTTCAATGTCTTATCACACAGGATACAGACAGAATTATTTGTTCTGCTAACATTCTTCATAAGGCTGATCAGACGTTCCGAAAAAGTGTCTCTCAGACAATGAAGGAAGCAAAAGGTATGTCTAGTAGTTATGTGCTATTTAGCTAATGTGACAAGGACTCTATTACTGCTGCTGTTTCCTTGACACTCAGGTAGTTTATTAGCTTTTAAAGTTTACATCATGTTACCAGTTTAAATTTGTACTTCAGTTATATGTAACTGCAAGTTTTTCCCCTGGAACTGGGTATTCATTCATTTAACCATCCAATAAATTTTTACTGAGTGGCTGCTTTATACTAGGCCTTTTTCTAGATACTGGGAAATCAATAGGAAGCGTATTCTACTAAACATAGCTAAAACAAGTAATTATATGAATATATATCAGTGCTCTGAAGAAAGGGTAGTATAAAAGTGGTGGCTTTTTAAAAAGGGTAACTAAAAGGAAGGTTTCCCAGAATGACATTTAAACAGATGTGAATGATGGGAAAGAACAAGCCATGCAATTATCTGAGGGATCGTTCCAGGTACATGATGTGCAAAAGCTCAGAGGAAAAGTTGCTTGAAATGTTCTGGAACAGAAAAGAGGCCGTTGAGCCTGGAGTGAGCCAAGGAAGGGGTAGATATAGTTAGGGGTCAGGTTTAAGATTAGCATGGAGTTTGAACAAGGTTAATATATTGTAAACGTGAATTTATTAGATGAAATATGTGCTAATTATAGTTTTATAAAATAGCTCCTTTAGCATTGAATATTTAACTCTTTCCTATTTTTAAAATTTTATTTGAAAAAAGCAGCTAACATTTATTTAACTCCTCTTTTTATATGCTAAGTGCCTTAAGTTTCTAATCTTTACAGTCCTTTAAGGTGGGTGTAATTTTATAAATAGGACATGGAGGTTCCCAGGGTATCAAGTAACTTGTAACTTGCACAAGGCTGAACCACTATTAACAACTTGGACAACCTGGGATGGAGCTGCCTCTGATTGTAATCTGCTGTTCTGCTCCCTGGAATCAATCACCTGCATTTATTTCTACTGTCACAAAACCTTAGGGCATTAGTACTGTAGTCACCATATTGTGTTCCTCAGACTTTTAAAAAAAATCCATAATGGATAAGTAGATTATACATTATTAACCAGTGTGTAATACAGTACACAAACACATCCTCATGTTTAAGGAACTCTGTTTTATTTTATTTCATTTTAGGGAAACACTGGTTACCACTCACTAATGGGTTACAATCCAAAATTTGTAACAGAGGAACAAAAATGGCAACAGAACTGGAACAAAAGCAAAAATAGCCAAGGGGTTCTGGCCAAAACATTTGTCTTTCTTCTGTTCTATCCTAAGCCCAAATCACTCTTGATTATTTTGCACCCATTAGAAAAATACAGATTTTTTTTTTTGAGCAGGGGAGAATTGTACTAGTTTCTAAGTCTGTACTTAAAATTAAAAATACAGTTGCTCTACCATCAAGAAAGCGAAGACAACCCACAGATGGGAGAAAGTATTTGCAAATATGTATCTCAAAAAGAACACATATACAGATATATTATATATTACATAATATGTATCTATATAGTCTTACCACTTAGTAATAAATAACCCAACTCACAAATAGCCTAAATCTAAATAGATACTTCTCCAAGGAAGATATACAAATGGCCAATAACTACATGAAAATGCACTTAACGTCCTTTAGTCAACAGGGAAATACAAACCAAACCCATAAGGAGATACCACTTCACAGCCACTAGGATTAAAAAGTTCAGCTATTGTGGGTGTGAAGTCAGAGCCTCATACCCCACCATCAGGAATGTAAAATGAGACAGTGGCTTTGGAAAACAGCCCAGCAATCCCTGAAATGCAATTACCATGTGGCTCACCAATTCTGATCGAGGGTATAGACTCGAGAAATGAAGATGTGTTCACACAAAATCTGTTTATAGCAGCATTATTCCTAATAGCCAAAAGATAGAAACAACCCCAATGTTCATCCTTGATGAGTGCATAAACAGTGGAATACTATTCAGCCATAAAGAGGAATGGAACACTGATACAGGATACAACGTGAAGAACCTTGAAAATGTGCAAAGTAAAAGCAGTCATGAAACACCTCATCCTGTGTGACTCCGGTCATGGGACATTTCTACAACAGGGAAATTGTGAGAAAGGAGATAAGCGTTGCTCACAGTTTGCAGGTGGAACTAGAGCGGGCAGGAGAGGAAGGAGGGTGATAGCTAAAGGGTATAGGTTTTTTAGGTTATGACAGTGTTCTAAAATTGAGTGGTGATGGTTGTCTCTTCCTGTGATTACTAAAACCCATTGTTTTATACAGTTTAAATGGATGTTTATGGTGAGTTATCATGCAGTTATCTGATAACTGCATGATATATACTGTCGAAGAAGAAAATTTCAGATTCTCAGTAACACTGCCCCCATAGCAGTGGCTGTTGTATTGAGCACAGCAGATACAGAATATTTCCATCATTGCAGAAAGTTATAGAACAGCTGTTCAAGGTACTATTTATCAGTTTCAAAAGCAAAATTCTTCTGTTTCTGCTTTTTTGTCTTTAGGCAAGACAGTAAATTAGCCGTCTTGGCCCTTACTAACAACAAAAAACACAGTTCCCTTTCAGGTCTGTTTTTTCTGCTCACACAAGTTATTTGCTTCAGAACAATTTGCTTCAGAAACAATTCTCTGAGTTATTTCAGATGACTTTCCTGTTACCTTTTGTCTATAAATTGCTACAACTTAATCATGATTATTTATAGAAGATTCTAACTGGTTTATCTAATACGACCCAATTAAAGACATTAGGTAGCCAGATTTATTTACAGAAATAATTTGAAAATATCTCCTTATTCTAGATGAGCAAATACTTCCTAACAACTTGAAGCTTCTAGCAGAAGAACTTAACAAGCTCAAAGCAGAATTTTTGGAAGACCTAAAACAAGGAAACAAAAAGTATCTGTGCTTTCAACAAACCACTGACCTATCAGATGTGATTTCTTCATTTTGTAATGAGAAAAATAATATTGTACAGAAGTATTTTTCAAAGCAACATTAAAATTTCTGAATTTCCAATCACATGTCTGATTTGGGTAAGCTTTTGCAAGCTAGTTAAAACAAAAGTTTTATATTGCTAGACGTTTTCTAGGCCAATAGTGTGAACTGCCAAAGATCATTTTTTTTAAGTCTATTCAAAAAAAATTTATTTGTCATAACAGAAATAGGAGGCAGCTCTCCTCACTGATATACTAGAACCCTTGGGGCACAGGAGTCAGGTTGAATGGATCTTGACACAAGAAGAAACAAGATGCAGATAGGTGGAGCTATTTCTTGTTTTTAACTCATGATAGAACTTTTCATGGTAAGGCATTCTACAAATTCAAACCATTGCAGCCATAAAATCCTTTTTCTTTTATTAACATTTTACATACTAGAAAATTATTAAAAAATTAATTTGATCCTAGTTTCCAAAAAAGTAAAATCAAGATCATTAGAAAGTGTTATATTTTATTCATATATTACAAAAGCAAAGCTTCATTAACAATATGAACTACAATACTATAGTTATTTCAGCATAAAATTGCTTTCTGGATCCCTACACAATATAGTGTATTTTACAACCATAATGCAAGATTTATACTTTGCATACAAAATATGTTCTTTACATCAAAGTACATATTAACAAAAACAAGTTCTAGAAAACAAACCCTCTAAGACTAATGAAAAAGTCTTTAGCGGGGAATTTAATTTTTTTGTAATTCGTTCGATAAATATTTTTGCAGAACTTAAAACGAGGTTTATCTTTATTTTTTAGTAAGAATTCCCTTTGTCAAACAATTCTGCAGATGAATGGCAAACAGTTATTTCTAAAATGAAATAGCACACTGAAAATACCCAATGGAATTTTTTTCAAAGTAAAAGTCTAGCCTTCACTTGAATTTCAAGAAGTTGTAGCTACATACTACATTAGTAAAATCTGAAATAAAGTTATTCTGTTAATCTCTTCACAGCTTCTTAAAAAATATTAGTGGAGATAAATTATCTACCAACTTTAAAAATCTAAACTTATGTTCACTGAACAAAAATAAATTTAGTTTTAGAACATTGCCTGTTAATGGCAAAGTACTATAAATAGTGCATGTTACAAACTTCCCAACTCAGTTCTATCAAATATTTCATTAAAAATAAAATGAGAGGAACATATTCAATATGTAAGGGAAGATCCTAACATCTTTTCAAATACAGAATTACCTCAGGAAATTTAAATAAAATTCTAAATCTTTCTAAAAGTACAATTCCAAGAAAGTTTCTAAGGTAGATTTGCTTCAAAAATTTTAGTGCATTTAGAATTAATTGTAGCCTTTAAGCATCAACACCTTTGGAATACAACTGTGCTCCTATAATTAGAGGAAAATTATAACTTTTCATTCTAATTATGAAAAAGTCTTTTCCATGTTTGAATTAAAATGTACCTTCAAAACATTCATTTTTAGTGGTTAAAAAATACAGTTAATATACAACTAATAAGCTGGTTTTAAGGAGCATTCTTCTGTTTTTGTTTTTTTATGAAACAGGGGTCTTGCTATGCTGCCCAGGCTGGCCTCGAACTCCTGGGCTCTAGCCATCCTCCTGCCTCAGCCTCCTGAGTAGCTGGGACTACAAGCATGCGCCACCAGACCCAGCTTCTTCCTCTGTGTTTAATGAAAATTCTCGTTTTCTGTTTGGGGTATTGCTTTTGTTTGAAGAATAAAACAGAAGAAACAATAATTGTAAAAGCTTCCAAATGACAACCTGTTTCTTTCTGGCAACTGATAAATACTAGAGTTGAGTTATACATTTGGAAATTGTTGCACTAATTTGAGCAGTGAGTGATTTAAGCATCAGACTAAAACAACTGTAGAACTTTAGAGTAACAGATTTGACAAAGAGGAGACTTCCCCTTTGGACAAAGAATTCTTGGTGCTGCAATTAAAGCAGTTGAGATGAGCCTCCATTGGCTGCTCACCACAAGCCCTCCTTGAAATGGCTTTCTAGCACTGGGAGGGAGGGCAGAGGACTTGGAACCTGGGGTTTTTGTAGGCAGATACCATCAATATTTCCCTTTTATTTACTATAAGAGTAGAGATCATTTTTGGTTAATGAATGCTCAACAGGATATTTTTTGTTAAGAAGCCAATTAGTATTTTCAAGGTATGAACCAAATTAAAAATAATTTTTTTGCAAAACAAAGAAACCAACAGTAAGTAACAATATATTTTATTGGTTGACCAAGCTCTCTTCAGAGTAAGCTAGTTATTACACAATATAAAAACAATAGCTTCCTATTCAAAATGAATTATTCTAAAGTACTTAGCAAGTATTACTTTTATAAACAAATGTCATGTTTAAATGCATTTTATATCTACTTTCACACTTTTTTATCCTTTCCTACTAAGGCGACGATTCAGTTTCCATACAGTATTGTCATTGTACATAAAGACTGTTAAAACTGCAAATAAGAATTACAATTTGAACTCACAGAAAATATTTTATGGCCAGCTCTGAAGAGGAGACCAGGATCTGCCTGGGCACATGTTCTTCACCTTTTCCACTTTTTTTTGGAAATTATGGGCAATAAATGGATAAAGGGAAGAAAAAGGAAACTTTGGAGGTTTTTGAAGGGCTGAATTTTAAAAAGATGGATGACTTCATTATAACTCTTTGGTCATCAAAGGAATAGGAATAACAGGCAGAGTCTCACTATAGTTAATCTCACCTGACATAACATCAGAATGAAGAATTTAAATGAAAAATTCAAACTGAAAAGTAAAAAGTATCTAAGACGAGTATATTACCTGTTTTTAAAAATTAAACTGGAAGTATAAAAGAAGGCCAATGAAAAACTAACATGTTTAAACCAGACATTGAACAAATATATTTTAAATATTAAACACAATTTTCAACTAAAAAGTCTTGAATTCCATTTTTTCAAGCTTTCATCTATTTTTCATAACTGTAATTTTAAGATAATTGTTTTATATTGCCCCTTGTAGAAAAATTTACTACACTGAAATAGCTTTCCTATTATCAGCTGAAGTGAAACTACTGATTCAACTTAAGGGATATGAACTAAACAGTATTTCAATTAAGAGCAATTTTAAAGGCAGTTTCTCTACAAACACTGAAATATGTTGTAACAAATTTTGTAAGAAAAAATTCTACCATTTTGAAATATGGCAGAAATAACATTTAGCTCTCATACACATACTGAAATATCAATAGTATGGATAAGCCTTAACGTCTATGGACCATAAATGTGGGAAACTTAAATGAACACCTGTTAAGATTCTGTACTTCTATCCTTGTATGTTTAAATGAGAGGAAAAAAGATACCAATCTGTCTATTCTAACCCATAAATAACCCTGACCATATTTTTATGAAAAAAATTTCCACTACTAAATTTACATTTTATAATGGATAAACTTTAAGTTAGTAGATACCTATTAGGGATAATAAAAAACAAAAACCAAACTACAAACCCCCAAAAGGCCCAAAACAAGTAAGCAAAACAAGTGATTGTTTTCAGTGTTGGTTATGTTGCCCTCTTGCAAAATGACAAGCAAAATCATACTTATTTTTACATTTGCATCCACATATATTACACTGGAAAGGATTTTCATACCCATGACATCCCATATGAATAGTGTAAAGGATATTGTCTGCAAAGTACATGTCACAGTGCTGGCAGTGGTGCAGAAGCTGAGGATCCTGGACTGGCAGGGTTGGGGCTGGAGTGCTTGGCTGGCTGTTTCCTATGCTGGGAGTACTTGTGTGGGCACTTGGTTCGCTGCTTGGCCCTGCCACTGGACTATAGTTCCTCTGACTGTGTGATGGCCTTGGTTCAGGGCTTGTGGGAGAGGAGCTCTGAGGAATACTTGCTGACACAGCAGAAACCACTGCTTGGGCAGACGGCTGCTGAATCATGAAAGGCTTTTCATCAGGGCAGGGAACGACATCAGGAGAAGTGGGATTTTGGTTTTCAGGTGGTAAACTGGACAATTGTCCTGCTAGAGTGGAAAGCTGATTTAAAGGGTTGTCAACCATGAGTTCTTGGGGGTCCCTTGGCAGGCCACCAGCTGGTGTGGTTTTCGCCATACTTTCATAGGAGTCAGTCTGTATATTTGGGATTTCATGGGTAAAATCATTCAGGTAGTCTGGTTTCTGAACCACCATGGAAGGTGGACTTAAGTTGATTAGTGCTCTTCTGCTATACCCCAGATTGCTTGTTTTCTTCTGTAAAACTCCCCACATTTTCTTGCTGCTTAAGGAAGACCTAGTACCTTTAATTGGTACCATTTTATGCTTGCGCCTTCGATGATGGGACAGATTACTTCGATCACTGCAGCGGAAGGAACATAATTCACATTTGTATGGTTTTTCTCCAGTATGGGAACGCATGTGGGCTTCCAGATGACGCTCATAAGCAGATGCAAATGGACATAAGTGACATCTATGAGGCTTTTCACCTGTTTAAAAAGAAAAATGGAGGAGAAACTGCATGAGTGGCTCATTGATGGAAAATTTTGTATTTGTGTGTTCACTGGATTTTGGAATTGATCAAAAGAAAATGCTTTTCAGAAATTCACATTTCCCATAAAAGACTTATTTATTCAAATCTGTAAAGAAACCTGCAAACTGAAATAAAGCTTAGGAATTCATCAGTAACAATTTGTGCCACACACTTAAGATTCTATTAACCAAATATGAAAACTGTTAAAAGCTTTAACTGACATTTGGAAAAATAAGAAAGTGACAATAATATTCTTTACTTAATGATTTTATCAACAATATGCTGCAGTTAAATGTTCATGCATAAATCCACACATAAACACTTGTTCATACATAGTCACACCCATATACACCCTTTCCTCCAGGGAAAAAAAAAATACAAAAAATCTTTTTCTAAAAAGTCCTGTATGAGCCAGGTGCTGGTATCTCACACCTGCAACCTAACTACTTGGGAGGCTGAGATTGGGAGGACTAAGGTTCAAGGTAGCCACAGCAAGTAGTTCAAAGCCCAAAGAGTTCTCAAGACCGCCCCCCCCCATCTCCAGAGCAAAATGGACTGGAGGTGTGGCTCAAGTAGTAGAGCGCCTGCTTTTTGAGCACAAAGCCCTGAGTTAAAGCCTCAGTTCCACCAAATAAAAAAAATTCTTACATGAAATAGAAAGTCCAAAATTAAAATGAGCTTCCTGGTCCAAATATAAGTCATTTGAAATGTCCCTACAAAATTGCCAGCACTTCTCATCCAACTTCCTACTCTTCAGTTGCCATAAGGAATAATGTTAGTTAAGGCTGTTAACTAAAGATACCCCAAATATGTAAAATAAATACTTGGATGTCATTCACCTAACAAGTAGTGAATGCCTACTATGTGCTAGATGTCCAGATAGCTCTGGGGGAGTACAAAGATGGGCTTGCCATAATTCCTGTCCTCAGGAGACTTTTAGCCCACCATGATGATTTGAGAAATGGGCACAGGATGCCATGGAACACAACAGAAGGATATCTGGTCTGGTCTCAGGTTGGGGCAGGGTGTAGGCAGGAAAGATTCTGAGGATGGCTAAGGTTAGATCTGGGCTTAACAGCTGTATGGAAACTTTTCTCCCTTTCTATAATTAAAACAGTGATGAACGGATAAAGATAAAAACATTAATTCTAGCATCAACCGCTCCAACCTGAGAAGCAGATGCTGAGAGATGGCGAGACCAAGCAGAGAAATGGCTGGGGAAGGACAAGCTCTACAAGGAGCCTCACTTCCCACTGTTTTACGCTGTTAAGCTACAGCTTTGTAAAAAAAAAAAAAAAAAATGGAGTAATTTCCCCCTGATCCAAACTTTACATTAATCTTTATCTGTGAACAATCAGAAATACTTGGCCTTGCACTCCACATTCTCTCTCCTGCTCTTAGAAGAAATGCTTTCCCCAGCTGTTTCTCCATTACCTGTGTGGATTCTAATATGTTCGATAAGCCTTGCTGTTCCTTTGCTGGCGTAGTTGCAGTACCGACACTTGAGCTTCCCATCAAAGGTCCTTTCAAACCCGTCTACTAACATTCCTGAGTTTTCATCCAGAGAAACTTCAACAGATGGGTGATCAAGTCCATTCTGATCACCATCTGTTCCAGCTATAAACAAAGTATAGTAAAAGAAATTATGCATCTCAGAGTCAACTCAGCATTTTAGTCATAAGTGGTACAAAGTCTTTCATAAACTGACAGCTTACTTTCGAAAAGTTAAATTCATAAAATAACACACTTTCTGAACTAAGCCTAATTTTATGGAAAGCAGTGTTATATTCTGAGAGCTATTTATAGGGGGATCTCAAATTTACACATAAATTGTATGTCAACATGCTTTTAAGAAAACAAGGTGAGGAGATAGAGGGAAATAAAGAGATTCATTTAAGAGTGATGGCATAGTAACACAAGTATCTAGGAGGCTAGCCATTCCTACAATTTTAAATAGCAATTGTAACAATCTCTAAAAGGCTAGTTCTATTTATTTTAGTTTAAATCATTAATGAATTTTCCACTGTTCCACTCAGCTTATGTAAGTTCTACCTTCTGGGAATACATTTAGGATCTCAAAAGTTTAACTATGCACATACCTCTGAATGTTAGGACTGTAAGAATTTCAAGAGCTAAAAGATGTTTGACTGTTTGCTTTTAATCTAATCAGACTACTTTGTATACAGAAGGGGCAGGTACTCATAATCAGGAAAACCAAAATAAACCAAAACGTCACAGATGAAACCCTGGTCTCTTAAATCTCAGTCCAAGAATCTGAACACACTAATTCTTTTTATTCCTACAGTTTCATGGGAAAAGGACTCCTCCATGCCGGCACGTATAGTACTATCATGCTCAATTCAAGGCTTGCTCCACAGTTTCCTCCACCTCCTACCAGGAGAAGTTAAGTAATTTTGCTGTTTAGGGCAAGTCCAGTATCCAATAAGGACCAAGTGGAGGGACAAGGCTCAGTGTCTCCCTTTCTTCTATGGCTTTCCTAAGCCAATGATGCTCATTTTGATGCATGAATTTCTTGGGGATCTTATAAAAATAAATTGATTGACTAGTTGGGGTGGGGGCAGGTGTTTTACATTTCTAACAAGCTATCAGGTGACCTTGATTTCTGCTGCCAGTCCTGGATCTTAAGGTCCTAGACAGTCTAGGTTAGAGGTCAGCAAAGTTTTTCTACAGGGATGAGACAGTAAATATTTCAGGCTTTTTCTCTATGACACTACTCAATTCTGCCATTAGCATAAAAGCAGCTATAGAAAATATGTATGTTGCAGACGTAGCTCAGTGGTAGAGTGCTTGCCTAGCACATGCAAGGCACTGGGTTCCACCCCCAGTACTGCCAAAAAAAAAAAAGAAAGAAAGAAAAAGAAAGGATGTAAACAAGTGAGCATGTATGTGTTCCAGTAAAATTTTATGGACAATGAAGTTGAATTGCATGTGTCACAACATTATCCTTCTGAGGTTTTGTTTTTTTTTTTCCAACCATTTTGAAATATAAAAACCATTCTTAGCTTGCAGGCAATATGAAAGCAGCAGTCTAGATGAGGCCTGTGGGCAGTAGTTTGCTGACCCCAAGCTAGGTTAGTCTGTGTGGTCTGCAAATTAGAGAGTTTACCTCCAGCATGCTCAGCAGGTCTCGGCTTTATCTATTCTACTTTCTCTTCTTGAATGGGTAAACATGGTCAGCCCTTCTTTCTTCAAGAGGAAAGACACAGAAAACCCCAACAAAAGTTGAGGCTCGGGTCTAATCCACATTTCCTGATGCAAACTGGGTAACTGGGGGTGGGAGGAAGCTGATGTTTTGATTAGCTACAGAACCTAGAAGGACAAGCAGGGGATTCAGAGACCCTAAACTTCCAATAAGACCATATGCAATCCATCTACCCTAGCAAAAATCTGACATGTTCAAAGAAGAGGAAAAAATGCTGTGTTATCTTTCTAAGGGCGGGGGGGGAAAGGATGATTCACATTAGTGAAAAGCAGTGTTCATGGTACGGGTAGTTATACACAAACATGAGTACATTTATCAAAGTGAACTATTTAGTAATATTGAGATGAGTCTACCTCCCTGAAGAGCCTCTGCTTCTTTGTCCCCACTAACTGATCCAGAGATCATGTTCACATGATGGGTCTGTTGAGTCAGGTATTCCTGAAAATCTTTCACGAAGTCCAAAGGCTCTGGTTTTTTTTCACCCATCTTTGCTTTCTTTGTATGTGTCTTTTAAGTTTAAAGTTCGTTATACCTAGGGGGAAAAAAAAGAAACATGATTTTACACTATTTAGAGAGATCCAGTACATATTAAAACAACAGTGACAAAAACTATTTTAAGACACTGTACAAAGCAACAGAAAACATACTTTGTGCCTCTAAATACCTTATAACCTTTGTGGTAAACTAAAGACACAGAGAAAATGACGAAAAATATATTTAATAAATAAACCAAGATTCAAACTTTGTCATAGCTGACAGAAAAAAATTACAAAACAGAAAAAAAGAGAAAATTTATTCATAATAGCCAAATACTGGCAATTACCCAACTGACCCCACCCAACACACAGTACAACAGATAAATCAGTTGTAGCACGGCCACACAATGGCTACAACAGTGAAAATGAGCAGACTTCAGCTGTGAGCAGCAATATGGATGAATCTCACAATCATCGTGTTGAGTGATAGAAGCCAGACAGTTTCATGGTGTATCATTCCATTTACATAAAGCTCAAGAGGAAGCAAACTTCTCCAGTTCCAGAAGTCAGAACAGTATAACCCTCACCAGGGCAGTCAGGGCCTCTTACTGGGAGAGATACAAGGGGAGCTCCTGGGATGCTGGCACTCTTTTGTTTCTTCATCTTGGTGCTGATTTCATGGATTTGTTCAGTTTGTGACAATCCATTAGCTCAAGCCTTATGACATATGAGCTTTTCTGTGTATATGGCAGACTTTAAGAACAAGACAATATGCTGAGAAGTGAATAATCTTCACGTCTACCATGAAAGATGGCAACTTTTTAAATGTAAACTTAGTCATTCAGTGGTTTGAATTTAGGAAAATAAGTGTTCTTCATAAGCACACCTGCAAATTTAGGTTGGCTTTACAGGAATGAAATAAAACTTCTGGATCAGAGGGTCTACATATGTCCAGCTTTAGATACCACCAAGCAGTTTTTCAAGATAAGTGTACCAATTTGCACTCCCACCACAGTGAGCAAGAGTTCTGTAGCTTCGTGTTCTCAACAGTGCAAGCACTTTCACTTTAGCTATTCCCATGGGTGTGTTTTCATTTATATTAATTCCCTGATGATTAATGAAGTTGCATATACTTTTTAGTAAGTTGATTAGCCCCTCTGATACCCTTTTTTGAGTAATGCCCATTCGAGTCTTTACTCATTTTTTTTTCTATTAGTTGTCGGTCTTTTCCTTTATCAGACAAATACATTTTAAGTATCTCCTCTCACTCCGTGGTTTCCTGTTCAATTTCTTAATGGCAACCTTTGATGAGAAGCTCTTACTGAACGCTTTACACTTAAAAGTTTAAGAAATCCTTGCTTAGGGCTGGGCATAGTGACTCGCATCTATAATCCCAGCTACTCAGGAGGTGGAAATCAGGAGGATCACAGTTCCAGACCAGTCCTAGCAAAAAGTTAGTGAGACCCTCATCTCAAAAAATAAGCTGGGCATGGTTGTGTGCACCTATGATCCCAGCTTAGGCAGGACACACAGGTAGGAGGATTGCAGTCCCAGGGTTCTCCAGACAAAAACACAAGGCCCTATCTGAAAAAAGCAAAAAAGGGCTGAGGACATGGCTCAAGTGGTAGCACACCTGCCTAGCAAGCGTTAGGCTCTGAGTTCAAACCCCAGTAACACTCCCTCACCCAAAAAAAGAAATGCTTGCCTACATCTTACTTGAAGATGATCTACAGTATCTCATTCTGAAGGCATTAGCATTTTTACCTCTCTTATTTTTACCCAGAATTTACTTTTGAGTATGTGTCAGCAATGTGCATTTAATTAACAAGCCTCTCTCCAGTAGGCTCCAGTATCATTCTTCTAATCAGGTGGTTATATTCAGGAGGCTTTATTTCTGAACTCTCTATTCTGTCCTATTGGCCCATGTGTCTAGCCTTGTAGCCGTAACGTTGTCTTAGTAAGTTTTGTTATTTCAGTAACAGTCTACCATTTTGGGTTTTTTTTTCCCAAAAATGTGGAGATTATTTTCAGTCTTTGTCAGCCTTAGTTTTTTCTGTTTGTTGTTTGCAGCGCTGGGCATGACAGAGTCTCATACATGCTAGGCAAGAGCTCTATTACTGAGCTACATCTCCAGCTCCAGCCTAAGTTTTTAAATGGGGAAAAAGTGCGGGGTTGCAGAATGAGGGGGTTTCACGCACACAAAAAAAATTCCCAAATTTACAAAACTTGACCAACCTTATAAAAAACAAAATTTCTACACTTTGATTTAATGAACACTCTAGTGGAAACAAAACCACCCTTGACTTTGCCACTACTACAGATCATTATACTTTACAACAATGCAGTGATATCCTGAAGAACTAACGAAAGACATGTGAGCATTCACATTTTCCCTGTGGTTACCGGCCCCAGACTGATATATTTTATTTTCATATTTCTTTCTTTCTCCTTACATCCAATCTGCTCTTTACTCTGAACACAATTAAGGACCTGCAGGTGACTGAATTATCACTTAATGTAATATTTTTGAATAGTTCCTTCCTCCCTTCCTAGAATTGCCCAAAGGTTTTAAAATGTTATTATTATTGTCTCTTTCACTGTTTTCTAAAAAGCTGAAGTTACTAAAAGTCCATCCTGTGAATAAAGAGAGTATTTTGCTATTACAGAAAGGAACTCTTTCAGCCTTAAGTTCCCTACTTTATAAACTGGGATAATAAAATACTAACTTACAGTACTATTTTAAGGTTTATACTTAAGTATACACAAAGTATTGCAACCTGTACAGCATATGGTAAGCTGTCATACAACAGTAACTACTTTTGTAATCACACACACACACACACACACACACACACACACACACACACAATTTTTTTTTTTTTTCTGGTGGGACCGGGGCTTGAAATCAGGGCTTCAGGCATGCAAAGCAGATGCTCTACTGCTTGATTCATACCTCCAGTCCATTTTGATATGGTTATTTTGAGAGACTGGGGTCTCACAGACTATTTGACAGGGCTGGCCTTGAACCATGATCCTCCCAGTCTCAATCTCCCAAGTAGCTAGTATTATAAGCATGAGCCACTGGCGCCCAGCTTATTTTTGTAATAATTATTTTTGCAGGGAAAAAAAAAAACTTATACCTTGGATTAAGAAACTCCCCACTGTCTCAGATTCAAAGAGTTTTATCTTTCTCTATCAGTTCATAGATTTGGCTGGAGAATATTCTCAACACCTATCAGTTCCTTAATTCATAAAACAAACATGAACCACCTTAGTCTCTTAAATTCATATATCCCAATCTGTAACTTGCTAAGTCCACCTGCAATTTCCCAAAGTTGCTCTTCCCATTTTGCTGTCAGGTCACCTCTTCATGTCACTCACTGGCTCACCTTTCCCAACCTTTTGGACCTTTGCTAGCTTTTGCACAACTTTGTTTCAGTTTTCTTATCTTACCAGGTTTACTTGAACTGGTTCTCTGTCATTTCATTATTATTTGTTTTGTGTGAGTACAATTGATTCTGCTGATTATTTGTTCTTTAAGTTTTGCCCTTTGGTTAGGGAACATGAGCTAGTTAGCCCCAATGAAAAAGATAATCAAGAATAAGATCCAACAGAACTGGAAGCAATACGCAGACCTCTTCCCTTTTGTGGCCATTGCCAGAGCAGTGGTGGTCAAAATGAAGTTCAATCCCTTTGTGACTTCTGACCGAAGCAAGAGCCGTAAAAGGCATTTCAATGCACCATCCCACATTCACAGGAAGATAATGTCTTCCCCTCTTTCCAAAGAGCTAAGACAGAAGTACAATGTTCGATCTATGCCCATCCGAAAGGATGATGAAGTTCAGGTTGAGTGAGGGCACTGTGAAGGTCAACAGATCGGCAAAGTCATCCAGGTTTACTGGAAGAAATATGTCATCCACATTGAGTGGGTACAGCGGGAAAAGGCTAATGGCACAACTGTCCATGTGGGCATTCACCCCAGCAAGGTGGTTATCACCAGGCTAAAACTGGACAAAGACCGAAAAAAGATCCTGGAAAGAAAAGGGCAAATATAATGAAGAAACAAGTGAGAAGATGAAGAATAAAGTAGTCTTATATACAACTTACATTAAAAACTGCCTAAGTGAAAAAAAAATAAGATCCAGAAAATAGAGGGAAAGGACATGAAAGTAAAAGAGGGACTATTAGAGATGTGGAATGGGAAAGAGAGAGGAGAAAGGGTAAGAAAGGGTAACCAAAGGGGTAAAAAAGATCAAAATACATTGTATGAATGTATGGAAATATCATAATGAAATCCCTTACTTTGTATAATTAATATACACTAATAATAAAAAAGAAAATAAGGCAGAAATTTTTTTGGAGGTAGAAGGAGCACTGGGGTTTGAACTCAGGGGCTGTACCTTGAGCCACTCCACCAGCCCTATTTTTGTGATGGGTTTTTTCGAGACAGGGTTGAGAACTATTTGCCTGGGCTGGCTTTGAACCGTGATCCTCCTGACCTCCGCCTCCCTGAGTAGCTAGGATCACAGGCATGAGCAACTGGTGCCAGGCTGGGTCTCAGGATTTTGTCTGGTGCTGGCTTTAGATCACAATCCCCTACTTATGTCTCCAGCATACTTGGGATTACACACACGCAACCCCCAGTTGGCTTGTTTGTTGGATGCGGGGGGAGGGTCTCACTAACTTTTGCCCAAGCTGGGCTGAAACTGTGAACAGTTAAGATTATAGCTATGTGCCAACACACACAGCCAGGAAAATTTTTTTAAATTGTATGTACGGTCCTATCAATTGTCTGTTTTCTAATTACAAAAACCATAATTAAGAAGGTAATTCCAGTATTTACATTGCAACTTAGCATTGCTTCTTACCAATTTATATGAAAACTCATGTATTTTCCCCTGAAAAGCTGACTGTGCTTTGATATGCTTCAATAAGCAAGATAAATCTTACTAAATCTTGATTACAAAGCCTAACACTGCTACAGTACAACATGTGACAATGCAGTAAAAACAACAAGATTGCCAGGAAGCAAGCCAAAGAAAATGGTATTTTTATACAAGCATCTCAAGTTTACGAACATAAATGAGCCCAATTACAGAGAAAGGCTGACATATTTTGACAGTCTGGGTTATTATCACATTGTCACATTATAAATTTCACTGTGTTCCTTGCCATAAATTGTATGCTGCTTTTCAATTATTCATAATGAACCAAAGGGGGAAGGGGAAAGATGTTAATGAAATAAGGGAAGTTAACATTATAAACATGAAGAAAGCTCTTCTTAGAAATTAGAATTTCAAACATATTGCTATGGTTTAACCTTAGGCATCCTGCCCTGGGAAAATGAGGTGACATTTCCTACCTAAGCACCTGTGTCCCACAAGACCACATCACTCACATCACACATATCCATACATATCCATGGCAAGACGAATGGCAGGCCAGCCGCTTGCTCCAGGCAGGGAAACAGACTCATGTACATGGAAGACGCCTAAATCAAGTGGAGTCTTTGTTTAAAACCCAGTTTCCTACATCCCAAGTCAGTATTTCTAAGCACAATCTATGAAAAACAGTAATTTTGAAGCTACCGAAAATTACAAAGAAAATACAAGTTTTCTATCTCAACCATCTCCGTCCTTAATAAATCATCAGTCTCAGAAAGTTTAATCTAAGAACTCCACAAATTAACTAATACCTAGAGATACTACTAAGGCACTGTTAAATCTAAAAACCTTCACAAACAT